TCAGGTAGCTTATATCTTGGGATTAGACATTTTATTAAAGATATCCGTCGGCTAGTACCTAATATATATAAAAATTTTAAAAATCCTATATTTATAAAACACTCATGAATTTACCAAAATTTATAATATTAAAATCTCATTATGCACGTTATATGATGTACTCACGAAAACTTTTATTTATAATAATATCTACAAGAGAATTCAGCACATCATCATCTAATCCTCTTTTGGTAGCTTCTTCTTGTAATATGTTAAGATGTGTGTCAAATTCGAGAAATGTGTTTTTTTCTAGAAAAGAAGAAGGAAAAAATGCAAAATTCTTGATATGTAAACATTGACTGTTAATATATATATATTGTATATCAGATACTCTATAGCATGTAACACATATTCATTTAATATATGTTTCTTAAATAATATATTTTTCAATATATATACTTGAAAAATGTTTATAGTTAGTTATGAATGCAAAGGATATACGAACAATAATATAACTTTGCAGTAATTGATATTTTATTAGCAAACCTGCTATTCTATTAACATTAGCAAACTTACTACTCTATTGATAAACTTCTGATATTTATTCCTTCAATTTCTTCACATAAAATAGTCATGCAATGGATTTATTTTAAGCACAGATATTGAAAAGATTGCACGCAATGTAAGAGTAAACCAAAACAGTAAGTGCATACTTATACTTACCCTTAAGACATTTTATAAACTTCAAGCAGGCCTGTTTTGTTTCATTTTCTGTCATTCTGGTAAATATGTTAATCAAATTTCGTCACAGAAAACGCAGAAAGCAGTTGCATTTAGCAGGCCAAGTCATTTAGCATAAATGATATGACAAAGTCGAAGACCGCCAAAAATTGCCGCGTTTTTCCACAACTCAGGTTTCGAACAATTCATCCTGCATTAGCGAAAGAAATGTAATGGAAGACTGGCGTTAACGGTATACGATGCTTGTTTCACGTTGAACCGCATGCTAACTAGCAAGTTACTAGAAATACATCATAAAGAATGCAATATTTCTAGTATGTTACTAGCTCGCTTATATTCAAAAATGTAAACACGCACAGCATGCAGTTGGCTACAATATACGTTACATATTCGATTTTTAAACCGAATATAACGACCATGAAATGTAACGTTTGCGATATTTTTTAAACTCAATTGTGGACTAAATAAGTTTGCGAAGTCGTCATAAGGATATAAAAGAACTTTTGAAGTTCCCGGAAGATCCTTTGGAGTTTTTGGAAAAACTCGAATTTATATTTAAATTTTAGTTGACGATCAACTTTATCCGAGAGGGAATTACGAACAAATCTCGAATTGCTTTTGGAGACCTCTTGCGGTAAATGATGTAACTCCGCATTCAGGTCTACCAATGTCAAAATAAAAAGTACCGAATTCATGGCCGGTATTCATATGGTCTGTTCTTTTTAGCTACACTGCTAAACTGATGCCATAAGTTAAAGTATAGACTTAAAGGGGCAAAATATACATGTCTCACTCTAACTTATTGTACCATCTCGCAGCACAGCTAAAAAGAACAGATCAATAGTCGGAGCTTAAGCGGGAAGCACATATTTTGGCATAACGCATTTATGCATGCATTAGCATGACACATAAGATAACAAGAGAATTCAAACCAGAGTTCTATGTTTCTATCCTCACGATGGAAACGAAACATCCTGATTGGCTCGCTTTCTTATGTATCATGCTTTATGAGCTATGCTGAAGTGAGTGCTTCCCGCTTTATATTTATGGGCCATTTTAGGATATCTTTTCATATTGACGCTCGACGCTCGTTTTTAGCATCAAAACGGGTCACGTGATCGAAGTTGCCGCTAGATAACGAAAAACGCACGAAAAGGGTATAGCACGTAAATATATAGCATTATTGTTATTATTATTATTATTATTACTGTTGTCCCCTCCGCGATGTTTTTATTGATATGTACACAGACCTACAATGAAGCATATTAAATATTTTTGTAAAACTGTATTTCTGCAGTTATCATTTACGCTGATATAACACAAATTTACCAACAAATTTATCGACTGGAAGTTATTGAACAGCGAAATTTTCTTATTCGCCGAATTCCATAAGGCCGATGGTCTTTAGTACTGCCTTATCGGTGTGTGACGCTAGTAGTTAGATGTGATCTAACCTTTCTTCTTTGACGCTAGTCAATGTGATGTCACGTGACTATGCTCGGCGCTGGTTCAGCGTCCCATGAATTTGCGGCTTTCGGCCTATATTCGTAGTCAGAATTTATATTTAATAAAGTAAATATATAATAGAATGAAATAATCAAAATAGACAATATATAATTATCAATCACTGACGAAATTACATAATATTTTCTCTTTAAACTAAATACCTATTCTTGCTTATCTTTACAATCGAACATATACACACGTGATGTATCATAACAAAGTTCTATGGAAATTGGGAATCAATAATGTAACAAATAGCTAATAAGAGCCTCTGCACGGTTTTTACAGAGCAGTAATAAAACAAACCGAAAGCGTAGTTTCACCCTTGATAAGGATTCAAAAAGGACCGGAACGTCTAGGTTTTTGTATTTTTATCTTGACTACTATGGTGTAGTTAAGACAAAAATACAAAAATCCAAATGCTACAACAGACTATACTCTTGACTACAATATTGAAGGAAAAAAATGTTGTTTGTAAAAGTACAGTTCTCTTCAATATCTATAATCCTCTATTTATATTTTCGTTCAATATCTTTTGATCTACCAAAGCTATTCACAGGTTCTTATTGTGCCCTTTACGTATTATTGATTGCGAATCAGTAATTTTAACTGATTTATTTAAATTGGGAATCGTTTGCCGATTGCCGCGAATAAAAAAAAAATGCGACGCGAGGTGACGCAATGCGCAACGTCGGGATATCGAAAGTTTATCTTAACTGTTGGTGAGAAAAAAACAAAAGAATAGGAAAGGATACGATGCATGAAGATACAGGGGACGAGGCGCGCAGCTGCACGAGCAGTTATGCAGTTCCGCTGCCGCCGCCACCGTCGTCGTTGTCGCCGTCGCCGCACTTCAAAGAGTGCCGTCGCCTACGCGCGAAAATTCACTTTACTACGTCCGGAAACGACACTTTATGTGCCCTGCGTGATCGCGAAGAAATTAAAGAGCACCTTTCTAGGTTCTCGAAGGCTCTTCACGTCCTGCATGTTCGACTCTCAAAAGCGGACTCATTACATAAGACCATATTGCCTGCACGCGTTCAGCAGGAAAAGCAGCTTATTATTAAATATTTTGTGGATTATCGCCCATGATTGAAGAGTTCTTTTAGATCTCCTATAAATCTAGGAGAATATATCAATCAGAAACAATAATCATAAAGCGCTTACCAAGCTGCTTTTCCTCCTGAAAGCGCGCAAGCATCGCATTATCGCGTTGCAGTGTCCTTATCATTGAGGAGCGACGTTGCGTAAGGTATTCCAATCGGTAAGATCCCGAAGCGTGAACAATTCCGTATAATTCTATTTTGTTCCTTATACACACCAGATTTTTTTTCCGATAACGAGAAGAAAAGGGAGTACCCAAAGCGGTATCCATATGGTAGACGTGTTGTTTCTTATCTCTACAAATAGCAAATTCAACGTCAAATGCCCTAAAGTAACACTATCCTTATTGGCCGTGTACAGCGATAACGTTCACCGCTTTCATCTGTTTATCACATACTAACCGGAGGTTCTTGGAGGATATGTAAGGTACCGCCTTCTCAAAATACAATGTTGCCTCGAGCCGACCGTTAAGGTGTCGACGTCGGTTCGCATATATGAATGAAAAGCTTATGAAACGGAAGAAAAACTTTTTTTCACACACACACACACACACACACACATATATATGTTACAGACAAATAATAAAAATGAATATTTCGCACACATATACACAGACATGTTGGATGTATACAGATCCTTCTAAAGTTACTATATCTTGACCTCGGCTTTACGGCCCTTGACATTGTATATCTTCCGTACATCCGGTGAAACTCCGAATGAAAAATTTCGCCGAATTTCGGTTGAATTTAACCCATACCGTAGAGTGGTATTTCAAGCTTGGGATTCATATTTCAGTCAGCGCGGAGACATCGAGTGATTTGACAAAACTTCCCTTCAAAACTACAAACAGTCGAGACAAAGTGGCCACTCTGAAACAAAGTTCCAGTCGCCTATGTCGTTTCGCGCCACAAGAGAGGGCAATGTGTACTTGTGCTTCCTCTTCTTCTTGCCTGTTTACATTCTAATCCTCCGACTGGCTGTTGCCGTTGGTGCGCTGTTATGAGGAAGCTTTACCTACGAGTGTCAGTCTGGTAAAAGTGCCACCGGTTTCTCGGGGTCAATTGAAGAGAAAAATAAATATCCTGTACCCTAGGGCGCGACGTATCTGTATAAAATTAGCTTGTACGATAATGCTTTTAGGGTAGAAAATTGTCAGTATCACCACCAATTGACGCCTTATCACTCTATCTTATCACGATCTGTCGAATCGTCAATTATTTTTGTATTATTTTTTTAATTGTTTTGAATTATTTTTTCTGCTTGAATTCTTTTTTTTTCTTTAAGACACGGGAATGAGAGAGCTCACGTTCAACCTTCAAATTTCAGACGTAACGTTACACCTATGTTATCAAGGATTCCTCTCATAACAAAATACTTCCAAGAGTGTCGAGTTCACAAACGAAATTTTGTCACCGTCAACGCGCGACGTTCCGCGAAAAGTTCCAGCAACGTCCGTGCTGATGTTATCTCGCTCGTCCCGTCTCGAGCCGAGAACAAACCATTAAGGGTCGTCTGGCCGCCGGATTCCGTAATTTATGGTGACAAATTCCGTGTTCCGTCTCGTGCGCGACGCTCATAAATGGAAGCGTGGCGACGGGGCCCGAGAACACGCGATACAAATCCGTGCAGGGTCGGTGTCATTGATGGAGCTGACGATAGCGATCTTCTCGACGCTCTCGTGTGATGTACTTGTCAATTGCGCTGCAAACTTCGCGACCGTACGTCCGTTTTGCTGTGTATACAGGCTTATACAGCGCAAAAGTTTGCAATTACAATGCAGGAGCGTTGCAGTATTATAAGTTGCAGTGTAATATTACAAAATCACTGGAGATACATAGAATTGCGACATTTCGTTGAAATATCGCAATAACATTCGTGAAGTATTATAATTTTATTTAATACTCTATTATTATTATTATTGTTATTTTATGTGTATATGTATAAGACTGAAAATCGTATAATTTTTTATTTAGGAAATGGTGAAATATACTTGACATTGTATGTAAAAATTATTCACCTTTGCTATGTGCACACAAATGTTTTTAAGTTAGAAAATTTTTCCTTTTCACAAATTTATGGTAGGGAATAAGATGTATGACTTAGATCGATTAGGTAGGGAATAAGATTTATGATTTAGGTCGATAGTGAATATTTTTCTCTAGAATGAATTCGTGAAGATCGATAATTTTCTAATTTACAAACATTTGGAAATGTTCACTTTTCGCATTTCCGTTGGAAAAAGTTACGTGATTAGTGCTCCAGGGGGCGATCAAGAATTTTTCTCTAATGTGAACTCGTGGAAAGTGAACATTTTTAGATGCTTCATTTTTCACAAGCTCGGGAAAAGATTGACGCCATAGCAACTTAATCATCTGCTAATCACTTAGATACGTCACGTCGCATTCCGACACATCATGCACGTTCTCCCTTTTTCTTCCCGACTCGCCTTTTCTTTCACACGGAACTCCTCAGTCTTCTGTTCGACTTTCGGCAACTTCACGTATCGGCGGCGTTCGGTTTTGCAAATCGCAAATCGGAGACATCGACTTGCTCTTCATTGGCCAGATATTATCTTAAGATAATTTTAAGAGTAAACCAATGTCTCCAATTCTCAAGACCGAATGCAGCTATTGTCGATAGCGTTGCTTACCATCGTGCCCGATCTCGTCTCAGGAACCAATCAGGTATGTGGGACGGCGTCGGAGACGTAGTGAGGGCAGCAGGGCGGCGCGTCGACGCGTGTGTGTGTCACATGTACGCAACCCCTCTTTGACACATACCCCCTCTACTTCCGTAAAATAAAGTCGCGTTGTCTGCATTCTAGCGCATTGACGGCACGTTCGGTTTGTTTAGTTTCACTCGGAACTTTGCGTTGAACGTTTGCTCGCTCCTTGTCCACGGCACTTCCAAGTGCAACGTTTCGATTTCGCGCACCGTTGAGCAACAATAATAGTGTCGTTTCCGTAAGATGAATTTGCCGGTTATGCCTGTTATGCAAAGGTGTTACGACTCAATGGGACTCGTTTGTCGATTGGGTTCGTATTAAGTATATTACACATATAATTATGCAAGTAATTTTGCGCATATATTGGTGCTGTCAGATAATTAACCTCTTTAGCACTTGAGGACAGGGAGATTCCGATAATTTCGACCAAAAATGAAAATAGTTTCCGCGGTAATAGAGTTTTTGAGAGCGGCTTTGAATTTAGTTAACTATTTAAAATGTTGTAAACGATAAAAGGATTGAACGTTGCTATGATTGTTTATTTTTGAGAAATTTGACGAAAGTAAAATATAGTAGGAAGTTATCTCACAACTGATACTTGTTGGTAACAATATTTTTGTTCGCAATGTTTTCCTTTTCGGTGTTTTTTCCCCCATTTTTCCATGGATTTTTTCGATTTCTTATGGAAAGAAGTAAATGTGGCAGGTTTCGACCAAACACACGCACACATAGCAGTGCGTTTTTCTAAACGAATTTTTCTACCCTTAGGTCGGTATTCATAGTCAGATCTTATATTTAAAACTATCTTAAGTTTATTTTCAGATGCTCTGCGGTTCATTTCATTGCCCAGCATCTGAAGATAAATTTAAGACAGTCTTAAATATAAGATCCGACTATGAATATCGGCTTTAAGATGAAAATGAAAGAAATCCTTGGAAAAAATTCGAAAAAATCCGGGTTTTTTCCAAGCCTTCAAAACTATAATCTGAACGGAACCTAATAAGACAATGGTTTGCATGTTCCATGCTGGAATAATCTTACGTGACTTGTCCACACTGGGTGAGCTATCTATTGTCCTATTATGAGCCAAATTTTATTTGTCAAATAACTTTCTCATTATAATATCTTTCTCATAATAATTAATTTATCAAGTATTTCATGATTATAGTTCGTTTCAGAGCCGAAATATCGAAAGGTCTGAACGAGAAGTTCAGCATGGGGCATCGTGCGGTAGCCCACGCACGGTAGCACGTGCGCATAAAAGGTGTAAAAGTTTTCGTCACACGATGCTTGTTCTCGTATTAATTTGCATGGAAACTATGCTAGCTAGCGCGTTGGTATGCTAGCTATAAAACTCGAAATTATTTAGATTTTTATCTATTATGTTAGGAGAAGAAATCTTAAACAAACTCTTTTATTTATCTTATCATCGCACTTAAGTCTATTTATAAAATTTGCCTAATATATTTTGATTTTATAAAGAAACTTAATCGAAGAAAGAAAGAATCGAATAATAGAAACATATTTATTTCAAAAAATTATATTTTCTATCGTATATTTGACAGTTCATGTTAAAAGCTAAAAATTGCTACGTTTTGGCAGTTCTTGTATATTATAGTTCAAAAAGTAAAAGTAAAGTTTTTAAATCAATCGTCATCCAAGTTATCAGAAACGCATTCAAATTCTTGAAGAAAAAAATCTTCAGAAAATCCTCTTCTTTAAATCTTACATATATATTTATGTGGTTTTTATATTGACACCACACATCCAAAAATTGATGTAATTAATTCGTTAGATTTTTCATAATGATCAATGCTAAAATACTTAATATCCGATGATATTTGTATTAAAAATGATTGTCACCCTCGCATCCTATGATTTACACCTCACATCATTTCGTTGATTGTGTACTCGTAAATATAGTAGTTTAATGGTATTATATAGAAATCTGTACATTCGAATGACGTTCAATATGAATGGTGTACGCAGACAAATTTTATATACAAATTTAAAAGGCGACCTCTTCACCGAGAAGGATTCCCATTAACTATTCAACGATCTGTCAATTTATTGTATTTCCGATTCACGAATTACGCGGAATCACTTGAAATCGCTACAATATCACCAAAGTGAAATATTTTACGTTTCACCTTGGGCTGATTGTTTCTTAAAAGTGTGCATTTAAGAAAGAGAGAGAGAGAGAAAGTCAGGAACGGAGGAGGAATGCTCATCTTTATAAATCTCGACTCATTTTGTAATCCGTGTAATCGCATGTTCTTGGACACTGTTAATTATCAAAATATTCTCCATAATGTCTCGTCACCTCATTGTCATCGTATTGATCGTTTGACCATAACGTGAACAAACTCAATTTTTCGCGACAATGAACAACCCTGAGAACGGTCGGCAACAATAAAAGGGATCTTCACAGATCATCGTGCGGTCAACTGGGCAGCTACCTGCGTCCAGCGACAATGCGCACCGTCTGTTAAAGAAAAGCCGACAATAGGTTCTAAAAATTTTCTAAAAATGTGACAAGCAATAGATAGAGTTTTCCAAAAATATGAAAAAAATGGAATATCGTACAGACAAAGCAATTTACAAGAAAATGATTTGAAAAAACTGTATGATTTGAAGGGGGATATAAATTGGTGACCTTAATTTTATTATATAGTCTATAATTCAAGGTCATTTTAATTAATTACGTTATATATAAAATTTATTATACTATAAATTCTGTTAATAAACAGTAATATAATCCATAAATAATAAATGTTATATATAACATAATTTATTCTGATTTAATGGCACTAGGCGATTCGTGCTCCGACTCTTAATGGTCCCTCCTTTTATACATAAAGTGTTTGTTACGGTGGCTGGTGGGCGACTTCTGTTCACATTACATACGCGATGGACCTGCTATGCGTACGCACAGTATCGTCCTCCAAAAAAAAAACCCTTTGTGAATGTCTGTCACCGTCTATAACGGTGGTTAGATCTAACGTGGTGGGTATTGTGAATTCCGTAATACAAAGCCATCGAAGAATGTTTTAAACGTAGGATTTACGGGCGTTTGTCTGCCGTTGTCTAAACGGATAGTACGAAACTCAGTCCTAATCTTGCCGAATCGCGAACGGTCCAGGACGAACGATCCGACGCGACCAGTCGAATACGAATCGGTATGTCCTCCATAGTACGCTGTGTCAAGCAATTGTATTGCTTGGCAACATTGTTTCGAAGAACGGCGGCTGCATCAAATAGAATCGAATAGTTCAGTTTCTACACCGTCCGCTTAACGGTCGGGCAACCAGCGCTGCCGAAAATATCCCCTTCCTGTGGTGACTCTCTGACCGCAAATGATCGAAAGGAAAATTCACACTTCCATGGGCGGTATTCATAATCCGATTTTATATTCGCGATCTGACTGTGTTTTTTTACCTGCTCCTTCATATTTCGTCGACTGAGATAAAATCTCACGGTTCGCATATATTATGTGTTATAATAGGTGGGCTGCCTAATAAAAATGCGGAGGCTCACTCGGATTCGCTGCCCAACGTCTACTTGAGTCTGTATAATCAGGAACTCTGGAAACAATTTCATAAGAAGACAACGGAGATGATCATTACGAAAGTGGGACGGTGAGTACACGTTATTAATATTTTTAGTTATTTTCCAAATGTCTTCGAGTGAAATTCCGCTCGAAAAGTGGAGTAACAGCCGTGTTGCTGACTTCGAGTGACTTTTCTTTTATATGGAGTGAATTTATCTAAACCGTGAAGAGTCAATTTTATACTCCATTGTCACAAAAATTAATTTACTCTAGTCGATTCAAATATTTATTCGTACGGATTAAAAATACAAATCTTATTATGATTAAGAATTATAACGAAAATTTAAAAAAATTCCCTCTAATCGATTAAAACATTCGTTCGTATGGATCCGTTTGAATAATTCAAACGTCCTCGCTTTTGTGATTATAAACAGCAATATTTCCACAATCGCTTCGAATGAATTTTCCCTCGTGTTGAGTGACGTTTCACTCAGGTACAATTAGGTATGTAGATTCGTAAACACGTAGCAATTCTCTTTTATCTTCGAACAAAGAATAAACGAAACGATTAATGTCTACGATGATATCCTTTCACACTTTAATACTTAACGTCTATGTGTGAAAGGAAGTGACAATAAGTTTCCCCAAATTCATAATAATACAAGTGTGTACAATTTTCTATTAGACACGCCTCACACCTCGGATATTTTGACACGTTGTTTGAGAAAAAAGCCACGAAATAAAAAAAAAATACGTGATTTACAGCAGTTACACGATTACTTTATTACACCATTTACAAATGATTCCATTGACCAGGTTGACAAGGTTGGTTAGTCCTTTGTCCCTTTTTTATACTAAACATAAAAGCGCATCGGTTTCTTCGGATCGTCCTCTTCTCTCGACTCGACTACTGTGAACAACAAACGGAAGCGCAACAAAAACCTGTCATCCCTCAATTTCCCCACTTTGCTGGAAAATTTCGTAGGTCACACAATTTGTCAAGTGCAAGTGAATTCTACCGCATATCTTCTACGAAAATAGAAGTCGAACATTGAGACGAGTGAAATCAACGTAGAAAGCAATATATAAAAAGAAACCGAAAGTATAAAGATAAGGCATAAAGAGAAATCCTTTTGACTCCGACGATAGATTTTGCATAAATGCAACGACAGGAAAACAAGATGCGTCACATGCTGCGGCGCCGACCGGAAGGTCCCGCAGACGATTGCCTGCGTATCTTCGACGATCGAACGAGTCAGACGAAATATTTTCCGTGACAAGCGCCTTCTTCCATTGAGACCTCTTGGTCTCGGCGCCCGTAAGAGGTGCCACCAGACCGATGGTGTGCTGCGGCGACTACTCCAATCTGTCTGTTCCGGGACACCCGTAGTTTCTCTCAAACTACATCGTCGCAATATTCCTCAGGAAACAATAGCTCAAGAATTGCGCGAAAAAAAACCCCCATAACAGTAGGCTCCTCGTTCTATCCTTCATTAAATCTCGTCGATCGGAACGTAGACCGTTATGCGCATTGTTGTCAAGAATTCGTCACTCAAATGGATAATCTGGCGAAAACCGATATTTCACATTTCTCTTCTCGTTCCTTTCCTCTTCCCGTTTTCTCTTTTTTCTTCTTTTAGACAGATTTCTAACATATTTGCTGCAATAATAGCCGACGATGATCAGATCTGACTATAAGTTTGTTCTTTTAACAGAAGCTGGTTTTTAAAGTGTTAACGTATGTTGATTTTGCCTAAAATTTAGTTATTTATTTGATTTAATGCTATATTGTATGAAAAACGCTTGAGCACTGATGGACTCGAATTCGAGACTCTTGCATGCTGAGTCGTCACTTTAGATACTACACCACTTTGTCAACTGATATAAACATTCGTTTCGTATTTTTCTATGCAGGATGAATCATTTAAAACTAACCACCCGAATAACACTCACAGTTTTAGAGATAAATAGGAAGGGATAACAAGAAGGTGAGATAAAAGTTGTTTGTTACCAAGAAGTAACATCATGCGATGATAGACATTTTTTCCCAGGCAGAGGCGCTTAGAAGATTTGAAGGTCACCGCATGATGTCTCAAATAAGTTTTATTTCAAGCATTCCTTCTTATCTTCAAAACTGAGAGTGTTATGTATCGAGGGTGGCTTATTTTAAGTGACTCACCCTGTACACGGTATAGCCCGAGAGAGAAGGAAATAGAATACAGCTAACTAATCCTAGTTATTTATATTAATAATTTCAAATTAATAAAATTATACCTTGCAACAAATGCATTTTACCTCTGATAGCCAACTTTTAATGGTGACAGCAAAGTTCGAATTAGCCAATGAGATGTAGTAAAACTGCTATTACTAAGTTATTTTTTTGAGTGTGAATATAAAGGTTTGTTATTCTTTAAGATATTTTTTCTCTCTCAGCATAAAATTTACATATCCGATCTACGTATCACGGGAAACTGGAATTTCTCGAACCAAGTTCGCATTACGAGGGCTTGTGGGACACATTTCCGTTGCACTATCAGTGTCAGGGTCAAAAGTGCTTAGTCAGATATTACCCATTGTCACGTCGAAGACGAAGAGCGCAGGTATCTAGTCGTTTCATTGTCGGCCCTTGAATTTTTTGTCGTCCGTAGGAATGGTCACTTGAAAATCAGTGGTGGTCTTTATGTATGGACATGTTAAGCGGTAATAAAGCGGGATGCACAATAATGCGATTAGTTCCGCAGATAGTGTTTGCAAAAGAGATCGATGATCAACGATGAGAACGGTAGCGACTGTTTACTTTGCGCTACCGTGATAATACATTTTCATCCTTATTTGTGTCCACAATACCTAGAATTCGATCCGAGTTCGTTAGCAGAATATACAAGAGCTGCTAAAAATCTTCCTGGTTCCCTGAAATCTTAGACAGTTCTATATCTTCACCTCCTTCCTTTTGCCGTTCAAGCCTCCCCTTCTCCTTTTTCCCAAATAATCGTGTATGTAGACCTTTATAAAGGGAATTCAAGAGGAGGGAACGCAGGAGCGGCAATTTTATGAACATAAATTTGAATTTACAATAAGTGTGGTAAGCAATTAGGCTTTTGCTCTAAATTATGACGTAATTTCTAGCAAAAAGCATTCCCAGCGCTATCAGACGTTGCAATTTCTAGGATTTCTAGGATTTAAGAGTTATTACAACTTTTGGGGGAGCGTGGGAAATGCTTTTTGCCAGAAATTACGTTATATTTTGATTGCTCAGGGCAAAAAGGCTTGCTACACCTATTGCCCAGTAAACACCAACTAACAATGACATTATATCAATATTATAATTTTCATTCAACAAAATATAAATGTAATGTAACATGCTTTGAACGTGACAATTACATTGTTGAAAGTGAAATTATAACATTGTTGTAATGCTGATATTAGTTGATGTTTACTAGGTAGATTTGAACTTAAGAGGCGTTGATCGCGATCGGTGATAGATCCTTGCGTTACAACCGGACGTACGGAGGAACAACGAATCGCTGACTCTTCCGGCCGCCATCGTTTCCTTTCTCCGATCAGACAACGCCGATTCTCCGATTCCGATACGAACAAGATAAAGCGTACGTAGAATTTCGCGTGACTCTCCGAAAGATAACTAAATGCTCGCGCGCGTTACGATTTCATATCGGTATCTTGTGGGCGTAAAAACGATGGCGGGAGAACGGAAGGAAAGAAGAAAGGTGGGTTGAGTAGATGATAAAGATAGTTTCTTAGCCTTTGATGTTTGAGCTTGTGCTCGCGTCTCGTCCACGAATCTTTCCGAAAGATAAGATGAAAAACGTAATCAGAAAGCCGAGTTTCATGCCATTAGGAAAATGACGTTTGGCAAAAATCTACAAGACGTCTAGCCTGATTAGCTCTCCTCCCCCTCCCTCCTTCATTTAATATAAAATAAATACAATGAATACAAAATGAAAAGCTAATAGTAAAAATATATAATTGTGCGTTATTTTTACGCGTTCTACGAAAAAAAACGCAATAATGGTGTGCTTTATTAGTTTTTTATTACGACAGAAAGTAGAATTTTTAGTGGGGGCTAGGTGGACCGCTAGTCCAGTCCTTCCCCTCCACATATAAATGACTAGTTGTTTAGTAAAATAGATAGGTAGCAATTATACGCTAATTATGCGTTCTTATGTTAGATGAAATATAATTGCTGTAGAGAGAAACCCCTTAATACTTGCAGCACAAGAAACGAAATTACATAAATATAAAAGCACATCAATTGTAAATTTATTATACATTTACTGTATATAATTAACAATTATTGTACATAATTGTTTAACGATTTCTTTCATTTTAAAGAATTTTTACAGCGTTTTTATGCCTTTCTCGTCAACAGAGAAGTCCCTTGAGGGTTGCAGCGCAAAAACCGAAATTGCCTAAACGTAAAATGCATAATTAACGCGCAATTGCTATATATTTGCTATATAATTGTTATATATTTGTTTTGCTGAATAACTTGTTGAATTATCCCCTTTATTTATAGAGGGAAAGGATTCACCTAGCTCAACCGTTAAAAATTCTGTTTTTCTGTCACAACAAATAAATAACGTGCAATTATATATATATTTACTATTCATTTCGCATTAGGTAGGGAGGGAGCTACTCAGGCAAATGACCTGCAAGAGTTGCCGGAGGCAAAACCAAAGAAGACAGAGTTTCATGCGGTTTTTCGTTTCTTCTGAAACAAAAGAATGACAGGAAAAGGACCAGAAAAAGGACTATGCTACCAGGCGAGATGACTAATGATCTAGTCAACATGATTTCCAAAGAAACTGGTCAACTTATTGTCTATATCAATTTGTGGGACATTAGCATTGAAAACGTGCATCTTCACGCATGAGTCTTCTGGTTCATTCGATCTCACGTAGACCTTAATAATCACACCACATGTTAAGCACATGTCTGCGTCTTCTTTTTCACTTGGAACATGTGCGAATTCTTTCACCGTATCAATCTACGGCAGGATCCTTCGCGTATCCTTTGTGCATCGCGCACGCTCTAACGCCCAGTTTTCGGGATATTTTTACGCGTTGGTTCCCCTCGTCGATCTCCGTTGATTATATTGAAGTTTACCTGACAACTGTATCAATAAAGATATAGTAGACCGATATAATTCGAGACACGTGTATCTTGCGCCTCATCTCATCGGCATCTACATTAAAATCTCATTATATATCCCTATAATCTATCTTTCGAGTGTAATTTGTTGTATGTATTTTAAATGTGAGTCGATGAGATACAGTGATATCTTAATGATATCAAGAGACACGGTTTCAGTTGACAATAATCGTCGCGATATTCGACGTGATAATATTTACGCATTTTTTCCTCTCTAGTTTCCCTCGCTATTCTCTCGTGTTTACCTGCGACTATGTTGACAATGATTAAATGGAAATCTCCGCAAACCTTCAAGAAAAACATGAGTAGCCGCAGGGCAGTTTATTCAGTAGTTTGGTGGATAGAGTTGGTAGCAAACTTCTGGTTTGTATGTTTTTCACAACTATCGACAAGAACTCGGATAGCTATCAAATTATTGATTGAGAGCTGGCTATATAACTGACTGGAAGTTCACTGTCTGAAAACTTGCAAAATTAACTTGCAAAATTTTGTATCTTATTTAACAAAATAGTGCACGCCTTCACTCGAGTTGTCGCCACTCGAAGAAATGTATCTGAATGAAACAAAATATTTCTCGTGACATATTTAAGAAATAATCAATAATCATTAACTGAAACTTAGATTGTAACATTTACCGTTCAAAAACTGATTAATATTGTTCATCTCATCTCGAACGTGATACTCCGTTGATTGAAATGAAATGTTGAACTTCAATTTCCCTTTTACCGTCATTAATTAAAGAGGTTCTATGGCTCAATGTCGTATTTTCGGTGACACATGAAGGAAACCACTCATAACTTTAATACTTATTACATAAAATTACATTTCTATACATTTATTTCACTATTTACATAATAAATGTTAATTTGAAATGAAATTTCAAATTTCAAACTTTTGGTGCCACTTTTAAATGCAATGGAAATCAATTTGTAATTTTTTCATAATTTGTTTTCATTATTTTGAGATATGGATGCGTTCTTAAATCCGATGTGGAGTTTTGTTTAGAGAGAGTCACGTGGACATGTAACACTCCACAGTCCGCAGGATGAGACACGGCCAGAGCTCGTGCCATCAAGAAATGCGTGTTATATCACGCCACAACATACATTATCTTAATGCTGCTATGTAATCATAAGAGGTTCCTTGGAGAGGCCAGATGCAAGATTGTCGTGGCACGAGTACTCAGCCACCACCGCGGCGACGCGGACGCAACGGTGCGAACGCGACTTCACCCCTCGAAAAATCCCTCCAGGCAATCGCTCCTGTCTATAATTACAATTTAAATTGTAACGATATGCTGATAAATTCTCGTCTGGACTTTCCATCTTACTCACTCATTATCAAATCAAGTGTATGTCTTGACACGGAAACGGAAACGTATCTAAACATTCTAAGGGTTTTTACGAACACCCGAGTGATTGTCACTTTCCCGGATTAGTGAGCAACGTCCGATAACTGTCGATATGTTATACCAAGGCCATACTAGTTATCGGGTGACACAGAGATGTAAATCATATTTCTTCTTACTTTCGAGAACCAAGAATATTTTGTGGAAGTAGCCTCGGTAACCAAGGAATACGGCTGTTTTTTTTTTTCTTGTCGCCGTCTGCGACCTTGATAAAAGCGAAAAATAGGAAGAGAGAATAGAATCAAATAGTAGGAAATTTGAAACTTTCGTTGAAAGGAGCATCCGAGACTTCTAAAAAATACGATAAGTTTCTAACACTAAGGGTCAGGTAATAAATCTTATCCTTGGCTCTCGATGATTCTAGAACAATTATCAGTTTTATCTTCGCATCAATCGGGTTTCACTTGGAGAACAATAAGACGCCTGACGATATCTTAAAGACGTCCTTTAGATATGAATGTTATATGGGTAACATTGTCCAGTTTTATTTCCAATTTTCACGGAGGAATTTGTCGAATCTCTATGACACGGACTACGTCTCAGACGACGGACAGACTCTTTCGTTCCTTTTGTAACCGGACGACTTGATCTGGCGAAAGGCGCCGTTAGGCTGAGACGCACACGGTGGACAAATGCCGAGAAAACCGTTCCGATTAGGCTAGCGGTACAACCCTGAGACCACTTGACGTTGACTTTTGAGGATACGTCCATCGGATTAGCCTCGACGGCCTCGAAGTGTTTGCGCGACCCGAAAAACTAGCCGGGAACTAGCCTCCCCTTTGAGAGAGGGGCTTTTCTCGCAAAGTAAGAGGAGTTGTTTTAGCACGACGACGGGGCAGGGTCTCGTGAACGACGCCTGTCCGTCGCCAGAACATTAATGACCTAAGTCGCCGTTGATTGCCTCGTTTCTTTAGGAAGTGCGAACTACCTGCGAAATGGCGTTTTCCTTTTTTTCACAGGCAAAAAGGTCTTACGGGCACAGTGCGGTTAGATATTGCCTATATAGTAAATAAAGATGTTCTTAAATAGAGGAATCCTGTTATAGTAAATATAAAAAAAATTTCTCGGACGCATCAAGTTGTGCCCTTCTCTAGACCGTATAATGTACAGGATGAGGCAATAACTATTACTGCCTTAAATATCTTCGAAATATGAGGGTAGAAGAGGAAAATTTATCTTAACGGAAATTGCATTGATATCATTGATTATCACTTCGAACATCTTCTGTAAATGTAAACCTTCTTTTATCTCTATCTAATCGTAAATAAAATGTTTTTATTATACGAAGATATTTAAGCTGGTATAGTTATTGTCTCACTTTGTATCTCTCGTGGAAAGCCGTAAAGTGCTGATATATGCTAAAGATAAAGAGCTATTATGCTCATCTGTGTGTCCCTACATTTTACCTTTGACTCGTTACGACAACCGATATTCGAGGAGAAAACTTATCTTTTGAAAATTACTCGAAAGTAAACGTTCCCATTGGAGGCCGGATGTTATTCAAAGTGCGCCGAAAACAAAGGCTCTGTAAACTTGTGTATCTCGTATCGTTTGATAAATAAATGCACATACAGCGAAAAGAAGGGTTACTTTTATTTCGGGTATCCAATATGGGAAAGTTTATCTTATTTACTATTCAATTTTATTTTCTTTGAAGATCATTGAGATAACGGATTTTCTCGTCGGATGAAGGTATTGCAACCATTCTTTCACTGACTACATACATTCAATAAGCAATTGCATTTTTCTCGACTCCCTGCCTTCTTTTCTGGCAAAAAGTCGGGAAATTAGAGAAAGGATAAGGAGGAGAAGAGAGGGGGAGATTATTATTTCTCTATGAGACTATTTTCGTTTGATTACAGCCGCATGTTTCCGCACTTGCAGTTAAATATCGAAGGTTTGCAGAAGAATTCGCTTTACTGCATCGTCATAGAAATGGAGCTGGCCTCGCAGCACCGTCACAAGTATTGCGGAAGTAACGCGTACGACGAAAACGCGAACGGGCCCGGAGGTTGGACCAAAGCCGGACAGGCGGAATCGCAGCCGGATATCGAGCGTAGGATCTACGTGCATCCCGAAAGCCCAGCGACCGGAGCTCATTGGATGCAGCACACAATTAACTTCAACAAGCTGAAGGTCACCAACAATGCCGCCGATCGTGGTTCTAATGTACGTACACGCAAATTTGCACGAGATTTCGTTTAGCCCATTCGCGCTCTTCGCAGCTTTTCCGGACGATTAAGACTTATCTTTTGTGTACTTGCTCCTGCAATTGTATTTTATGACGTCAGAAGCGAGAAAATCCATGCCCAGAATTCTTGCGGTGTACGTTTAAATAAAAAGATATACTCACGCAAAATGACATTTGAGACCGATTCACAGAGCGTAACTTATAAAATACTCTGAATTTACTCTGCTCGAACGAATCGATAAATAGCTGTAAAATTAATATGACAAGTCATGAAAAAAGATAAGTCTAAAAGGAAGGTTGCATGTCCTGTTATGATTATGATTTCATGGTTATTTATTGATTATTAAAGCAAAAGGAAAGTTTTCGGAATATCGAAGAAAGAATATATAAATGATCTTTAAGAGCCGAAGCACAGCCGTTTACGTCTGCTCAGGGTGAATATTTGATGGTTTAGAACGAGAGGGTTGCAAAGCTATAATATTTTGTAGTTCGTCCTAATAAGTGAAAGAGAAACGGATCCAAGCAATTTAGCAGTAGTAGTAGCTACCACACACTTATGTGGCTCTTCGATGTTTTGACAGCTTTTTTCTCTCGCTTGTTCTTGAAATTCTCATTTCCTGCCTCCGTACCTATCCTCCCCGGTTTCATATTACTTTTCTTCTCGCGTTCGTGTTATACATGGGAGGTCATACACATACACACACACACACATACACATACACACATACACACGCACGCATGTGTCCTTCTTTTTATCCTAATTTGAATTTAATTTTTTTATTATTAAACTTTCAACCAAATTTTTAATTCCTTGATGGCGACTTCAAATCTATAGTTGGATTTCATAAATACAAAGATCTACAGACTAGAAACTAGCAATGTCTGTATTTTCTCATTATAAATATCATATAAAAGTATAATTACAAATTGAGATATCGATCTTAGAATTCACACTTTTCATTTTACTCGCATTTTCTTTTACGATCGCGTTGACTATTTTTTATATACGAAAAAAAGTAGTTAAATTTATAGACAGCAAATACGTTTTAGTTGAAGGAAACAGAATGAATGTGTTTCGTACGTACGTACATCCGTTTGCCCGTTCATTCGTTATCGAAGATCTCCCGAAAGTCGCGATATTTCGGCGAGCGCGCTAGCTATAACCTTGCGACCTCGCGCGCACGCAGCCCATGAGAGCCCACCAGAGTCGGGAATCAAAGTCTCCACGGAGAGGGAAGTTCAGCACTCGCGCAAAAAATATTCGACACGCCTTCGGTTTCGTGAGCCGCACCAACGAACATCAAACCACCCGCAGCTTTGCGGCTACTTCGACGTGACGTCGAGGAAGGACGAAGATTAACACGGTCCACGACACCCTGTAATCGATATACCGCTCCCTCTCTCCTTGAGTCGCAGGCGAGTTTGTTTAGCGTTTTGCGAGCCGACAGGACTCTACAGCCGGGGGTAACGGTGCACCCGCAGTCTATTGTTGCATCGACGACAATACGCGGCTCTTCACCGCCGGCTCATCACTCCCATTCGCGCCGATCCGTGTGTAAAACGCGTGCATTACGCTGATCTTCAAACGCGCGCCGACACCGGATAATAAGGAATCGCTTAATAAGGAATCAATCGAAACGATACACTTCGAATCGTTACAAATCGCTATGTAGAACAAAAAATGATTGTTTTAATATTCGTGATATGGCATAACTAAGCGCATTTTGGTGGAAGGAAGCGGAATTTCTGGTTCTTACATTGCGAGAGAAAATATTTAGAAAGTAAAAGATATTTATTCGATAGCCCTCAGGGCCACTATAATACAATTTATTCGGAAAAGGGAGGAGAGGAGGGGGATACTAATAACATATTTACTTGTACTGATATATAAATTTTAAACGTTGAGACAAAATCGTTTTTAAATGAGAAAATATACAAATTTCTTAAAACTATAGCTATTTAGAAGAATAATTGTTTATTCTATTTAAGTAAAAAAATTTAGATGCAAATAAATGTTATTAGTACCATCAAATAAATGTTTTATTTTTAGATATTTCTCAGAGTACAAATCAAAAATTCTTCAAAATAATCATAAATTCTGTTTCCTTTCACCAAAACGCGCTCAGTTATGTCAAGTATATTCAAGTTGATTCAACAAATTTCTTTCTTTTTTTGCCTATGTTATCTTGCGATTTTATCATTTTTCGATTTCGTCACCTTCCTCCTCGCGGCGCAGCGGGCGGCGCGCGGTCTCTACCTATCTAAATCGGACATCGAGTGGTGCAAGATCTCCCGGTAGCACGGGAACACGTGATTCCAAGAAGGGTGGGGCGAAATCTGACAAAGGGCGAGGGACGAGGCGCCAGAGGGAAAAGGGCCAGTCTGGTTTTCGGGAATCGTGTCTGTGCCTACCGCCGGCCTCTTTAGCGAGGCGCCAACTTATCTCGAAAAAGCGGCGCCCTTTTACTCGGTTCCTCAAACTAATTACGAATTTAATAAAATCCCCGACCCTGTGTGTTTCTCGCCGCGGCTAACAGAGAGGGTCTTCTCTCCTCGTGACTGTCGGATCGTCTGTCGCGGTGACGCAGCTTGCACCGCGTAACAGCAGGCCTCTTTCCTTTCCCACTTTTCGCGTTTGCACCCGACGAAATAACGGGTGTTCTTTGGCACATTTGTGAAGGATACGTCGTACGCGAGAAATGGCTTTCGTCGTACAAAAGGAATACAAAGGAGACAAATTTCTGTTGCAGGTGCTGTTAACGTCAATGCACAAGTACGTTCCCAGAATTTGGATATTTCAAAGCGACAGGTTCGACAGCTTTAGCAAATTGTGTTCTCGGCCACAAACGTTCTTCACCTTCAAGGAAACCGAATTCATCGCGGTGACCGCTTATCAGGTATGCCTATCGAATTCTTTTTATTCCGGCGAGGAAAAAGCTTTTTAAACAAAGCAAACTTCGAAAAAACCATCTTCCTTCGAATTTGTGATTTTGTATTACACAAACCACTTATCATCATTACATCATAATAATAAACAATATAATAATGATATATATATATATATATATTATTATTATTATTTTATTTCTGTTGCCACGTGTTTCTGCATATTTTTTCCTTATATAATATTTTTCTTATAAAACAATAGTAATCTACAATCTATTATCTGTAATTTATTATTATTATTATAGCTTCTTATGTTCGGTTGATATATAGATAACTGCTATTTCATAAGAAAAATATTAAATAAGAATAAGGAAAAATATGTAAAAAAACGCAGCAACAGAGAGTTGTGTTGTGACAAGATTTACTCAATGAAAAATATGATATTACAACTTAAATGTTTCTGTTATTTTAACATTGGAAATATATTTAAAAATATACAAATATGTTAAATTAACATATATTAAATTAATATATTCACCTTGTTAATATGTTACTTTTTAACATATTCATCTTGTTAAAGTAACATGACAATTGAGGTGAACCGTTTGTAACACAACATTTTTTAATATGTAACTTAATGAACATATTATAAAATAAAATAAACGGAAAAATTAAAAAGTCTGAACGTACAAAAGAATGATAATAGAAATAAAACGGGAGTTATCTCGGTAATTAAACAGGCATACTAACGTGTCCTTTCATTCTTCCCCCAAGATAATTATCTTCGGGGAAATAAGAATTTACCGGTCGTGAAAATCCTGTCTAAGTGATTTAAAGCCTCTCACTTATATTTTTTCCAGAACGACCAAATCACAAAGCTGAAAATCAACAACAACCCATTCGCAAAGGGTTTTCGCGAGACGGGGCATTCGCGGGCCAAGCGCAAGTATTCCGATATGAGTATTAGTCAATCCGGTCAAACAGACGGCGAGGACAGCACCGCTTCGTCCGAATCAAGCTCTCCGTCTGGCAGAACGACAACAACAGCGATGCCGTCGAGAACTGATGTCTTGTACAACGATGCAAGCATCGGTGCCGTCGACGAAATCAAATTGCTGTCACCGATGATGGCTCCAGTTCAAGATTTGTCGTCCGGAGTGCAGAACAACAGCCGAGATGCGAGGCTGCCGGTGCCGTTACCACGTCCTCACAAACTTCACAGACCTTGGTTGGATCGATCGGAACAACTCCCTGAGCCTCAGTTATTACCGGCACCACCGGTATCGCAGCTCCTGATACCGCCACCCCTGTTACCGCCGCATCTGCTACCGCCGCACCCGCTGCCGCCGCACCCGCTACCGCCGCCCCTGCTACCACCATCATCCCTGTTATCACCATCCCTGCTACCACCCACGTTGCCCGATCTGACCTTGTATAACTTACATAACTTACCCACGGCAGTTCCCTCAACCTATAGCCATATATCGATACATCGTCAACATCGCCAATATCACCCTTATCGTTACTCAAACACTCGTGAGCGCTCGTGGCGCAACATACCTTATCCCGTATTCCTGGCGTAGTATAGGTGTTAAAACAAATTCTACCAAAGTGAAGGTAACGACATAAATGAAGCTGAGAAATTCGAAGAATTTGCATTGTGAACGGACGAATATTAGATTGATTCAGAAGACGAATAATATTATGAACACGGACTTTTGATCTAATAAACCATTGGAATGCGTTAATATTCATATAGAATGAGATTTCGTAATCTTGTTATTTCGAGTTAAACGTTAAAAGTTAAGAGTTAAAAGTTGATTCTTATATACGAAGATTATAGAATTCTATATATATATATATATATGTAATTTTGTTTCTTCATTTTCTCATATATATATATATATATATATATATTTTTTTTTTATACGTAATATGTTTTAGTATATTTTATAAATGAAAATAGATGATGAGTGGAGGAGAAGAAAATAAAAAAATAAAAAATTTAGAAATTAAGAAAAACGTGATCTCTCGTAGCGTTTAAGGCAAAAGAACAACATATATAACAATTTTTCGATGAAATTTTTCACGGTATGATGAAAGAGTAATTCATTCGATGACGGATTCTTTTGTACATCTTATCATATAATGTACAATATCATTGCGTGTATATATATTAAATATAAATATGTATATATTAAGTAAGTATATGTATATATATTTAAGATGCTTAACATGTTCCGTGCCATGTGTATCATCGGTGACTCACGCAGAACTTTCCGTTCAGACCGGTTTGCCAAGTTCGCTATGTACCACTGATAGTACACGTGACCTGAGCGGAAAGTCGCGGGAAATTTGCTCGACATGGAACATGTTAATTACCAAAGATATTGTCTATATAATTGTTCGATTAGACAATACTTTTAAATCAACGTTTGATAATATATAAGGCACTTTTATATCCAAATATTTGTATTCTATTTTTGGATATTTTTTATGTAACTTCAATATTCAGTGCCTTATCAGAATATTACATATTTCCTAATCTTTAATAAATATATATGATTGTAAGAGTAAAACATCATGCAATAAATTATATTTAATACCACTTCTAAGGAACAATCGCAAAACGTCTCTCTCTGATTTCGATAAAAGTGTGACATACCTTTAATGCAACTCTCAGATCTTGATACAATTGATATCAGCGTGACAGTCCATATGTTATCCATTAATTGGCGGTTATTTGTTACCTCAATAATTGTCTCACCGTGTCAAGAAGACGAAATTTCGGTGACATAGTGGATTTCGTCGCTGCGATGAACCAACGTGCCGAAAATCCCGACGAATCGTCAATCATGAGTTTTTCAAAGATTTGTTGAAACATGGGCAAATGTAAATATTTTTCGTAATTTGCAAAAATCCATATAATATGGAGGAATGACAACTAAAATGTTTGTAGTATATCTTTTGCAAAACTATAAAAGGAAATCATAATACTGCAATGGCTTGAAAAACAACATCGTAAATATTCTTAATAAATATAACGTAATAATATATAATGCGTAATATAATAATATACTTTGTGTACACGAAGAATCAATGAAATAATTAAGTAGTCTAATACGATGAATGTATAATCATTTTAAAATAACGAATTTTGTATCTTATTGAATAGCTAGGGAAACTTCAATAATGAACTATTATTCTTGCTCCCGGAAGGGAAAATATCCACGCGGGATTCAAATTCAATTGTCGACGTTCGAATCCTCTGATGTCAGGTCACCCATGTATAAATCACACGGGATATTTTCTGCGAAATATATACACACTGCATCACATACGCCTTACCGTTACAATTAGAGCTACGCGTGCAATGTCCGAATTTGTGCTTATATATATAAGGCTGAAAATCGTGTAACTTTCGATCTAGAAATCAAGATAAGGCATACATGACGGAGTCCTCGTGCGACTCGCTTCATCTCCGGGATACCTTAATCTTAAATAATTCGAATGCGATCGAACGACCGTGGCTACGTTTCACGTTCTTTAATTGCTTATCGAGATACAATGAACGAGCTAGCTTGTTCATAATGTAACTAATACATGAACGATACACCTCTCGGTAAGGATCGAGTGAATAATGACATAGAGTAGTAGTACGGTTATTCAGATGGATATAGTGCGTAGTAAGACTCGGGAAGTACAACGTCTCTCACGTGAGTAATGTGTCATCTAGTTCCTCTATTTTGCCTTCCGGTTGAGAGAGAACCTTGCGCAACACTTTGCTGACCACGTCGGACAGAGACTCCCTTGCACCAGCATCCAAGAAAGCCATACATCGCTGAAATGAGATCACGTCATCACAATGAAACATATTGTGAAGGCGTAATAATTTTAATCATAGCGAGAGGATAAAATTGTCTAGCAGTATTATCATATTGCGGAGACAAACACAAAGAGGAGTTGTGCGAGGAGGATATTTTGTGAAAATTAAACGAACACTTCCTAAGACAACGGAACGTGCACTCGACATACCTGGTGTTCCTCTTCACCTTGCCGAAGTCGGAGCACCGCGATAAGCGCGAGTTCGCTATTGGCTTTGACATATCCATTCTTCTCTTTTGTTCCGTTCACCAGCATCGGTAGGAGTGACCTGAGCAGCTCGGGCGACATCTTTTCGGGCAGTATGTTGCGCGCGAGGTGAATGCAGACTCGAGCAAGCAACTGTTTCACGTCGTTACTATTGTTGTTCATTGACTGAAATTCGAAGTAATTGTTAATTTATTTACGTTACATTTGTTCAACACTGTCCGGCGAGTGGCAGGAAGACCGCGACACTTTCATCTGTATATACTTCCGGGGAGGTATTCCATAGAAAAATTTAATCCCTGAGAATTGCTAAAAATTCTTCTTTGATACAAAAAATGTCGCATCGTGGAAATCACTGAGAAAAAAAGCGTCGCTGTTTTTCTGCCACTTACCGTCCAATCGTTATTTCCGTTCGACACATCTTTCATGCTGCACTTCTCCGAGATTGTTGAGAGGTTGATTTTCAAACGAATGTCCGTCATATTAAATACACACACAGACAACGATTCCACTAGATTTAAGTAGGCAAGTCCAAAAGATGTGTAGTCTGTTTTAACTAGAAGAATACTCATGCAAAGACCGTCAAACTATAGAAAATTGGGACCAACCGAGTTGACGCGAGCCAAGGTCGAAGTTATTTGTTTCACCGAATTCTGATTCCTAATTCGCGATCCTTCAAACTCACGAGTCTCCGATACTAGTCTCATGCGGGATTTACGTGATGATTCTTTTAGGTAGAACAAGACAAGCAGCTGCGGACTGAAAAAGATTTTGGACTTGCTCTACTGAGTCCAGAGAGGATGAACTGTCCACCGGGTGTATGTAAAGTAAAACACCGAGTTACCCTGACGAAGGGCGACAGGATCTGCTGGGGTACAGGCTGCGCCTCGTTCATGAGATACTGAAACAGATACCCGCACGCTCTCACACCGTTCATGACTATCTGCACTCTGTCCGCGGCCAAATACGAGAGTATCACCGCGCACACGCGATCCTTCTCCTTGGGATTGTACACCGTGCCGGGGGATTCCTTCAGCGCTACGAAGAGCGCGGCCGAACGTCCGTGTCTGAGCATCCAGTCGGCACTGACGTCGTTACCTAAATCGCGCGTTAACAAATGCAATCAACGATCGGAAATTTGAGATTCCATCGGTTAAACTCAGCCTTCGGAAACTCACATAAGAGATGATCGTTGAACGCAATCGCCAGCTGTTCCGGGCTTAACCAGCGCAGCAGGGCGCCGAAGCAACCAGCGACCGCGTTCCTTGTCACGTCCTCCGGATGACTCAGCATACTGCTGAGCGTTGCGAATACCTGCTTCTTCATCGGGTCGGTCATCTTGTCGCCAGCTGGTGTTAACACGCCTCTGAGAGCTTGCAGCATTGTTTCCCTGCAAGAGAAGTATGCCGATAAGAGATTCTCGAGACACGACTCGTGCGTGTAGAAATACGTGGTGGAGATACACCGCAGAGTGGCAGCTCTACATCGAGACTACCTTATCGCCGGATCATCGCCCGTCTTGATACCGGTGTGAAGTTCGGTGAACAAGGGATCTACACGCGTGTGGATGACGATCAGGTTACTGAGAGCGTACGCCGCCTTCAGTCTGACTTGTCGGTTGCTGTCGTTCAACGCCCTCAGGAAGGTGGTTTGCAGTTGCGGCAAAAATTGTTTCAACATGACACCGACCTATCAATCAGGTAATAAGAAATGTCCATAATTATATATCAACAATTATATGTATAATATAGTTTTTAAAATACCGCCATTTCAATTTTTATTCGACAAGAGACCGAAAAAGTCCGTGGGAAAATTGAAAAATCCAGTTTCTCCCCAATTTTTTCAATTCATCCGCGACAAGAAAAACCCCTAATTTTTTCGGAGCCTTTAAAACTATACTTACATTATATTTTTATCATTGTATATATATTTATATATCAATTAAATATACATAATTTCAAGTATTTTTACGCAATCACACGACTTGTTAAAAACCCCGTTTGAATGTTTATCCCATTTCTATAATAACGTCACCATCACTGAACAATATTAATGTCGGAGCATTAAAATTGTCATAGATTGCTTAGTTTTATGCGTACACACCTTTCCAAGCAATATCGCGAGCGTCTCGAGCACGGCCGCCTTGACGCTCCAGTTGAAACGATCGCCGAGGATTCGAATGAGCGGACCGGTGATCTGCACCACGCTCGGCTGCAACGCGGACGCACTCGACAACCTTATGACTTCTCCCAATCCTTGAGCGGCATGTTCCTTCGCATCTGGTAAACCGTTCAGTATAGCCTCTCGGAAGATCGGTAGGATTGGCGTGATTCCCTTGGGAAGACAGAATCCGGGTAACAGTTCTTGACCTTTCAGATCGGACACTGCGAATCGGACAGCTTGCCTGATGTCTTGTACGTGCGCTATCTGCTGCTCGGACGACAGAGTCTGCAAGGAAGCGACAGAAGCACAAAGCTAGATGATCTCATCGACATTCTCTCATTTTGTCCACTCTTAATCCTTCGAACCGTAATTCCCAATAGTCCTTAATTTAAAAAAAATGATACTCTTTTTTAACTTTTATATATTTTACAAATTAATTTATAAATTGTTTCCCTAATTCCCAGATAAAAAATGCCATTTTTTTAAATGTTATTTTTTTACAAATTATCTCATAAATTTCATTGTCCTAATTCGTAGGTGAAAAATAATCAGTATTTCAGTTTTATATTTTTTACAGATTACTTCATAAATCATTTTCCTAATCTCCAGTCAAAAAATGAGCTCTTCGTTAGTTTTGTCTTTACAAATTATTTCATAAATAATTTTCCTAGTTCCCAGGCAAAAAATAAAACCCGTTTTCTAATTTTATTTTTTCCAGATTATCTTACAAATCGTTAGAACCAAGGTGAAAATATGCAGCAGCATATCGTGTAAAGCGAAGGAGCCCGGCGGTTTAACAGAGCGTGATAGCAGGGTTCGAGGGATCGACAAAGCGCAGTGTGCTCACCTTGGTCACGGCGGTGAGCGCCTCCCAGCTCATCTGCAGCACGTCTTTGTCCTCGTCGGTGAACAAATGGATCAGACCGCGCAACAACTGTGGCACATATTGACTGTAATCCGCGCGAGTGTCGCGACAGAACGCGCAGAGCAACGTAGCGGCGCTGCGCCGTTTCGAGAGGTCCTCCGCCCTCGTGGCCTCCATCAACTGATCCATCACGGTCCTAACGCCTACTTCGTCGGTAACGGAAAGCACGACCGCTTGACAGTATTCGAGCTCCTGCAGCTCATTCGCGGTCCCTTGAGCACTGGAAAGAGCAGTGAGTAATGCTGGCAAGATCCTGTGAAGGAACCGTGTCAATGCTTCACCTGCCACGCTGGCCAGTATCGAGAGTGCTTTCGTGTTAACCGGCGGCGAGGCTAACTGCGGGACCAGATACGGCAGCACGACGCGCGACTTGATCGCCATCACTTGGCGCAAGCCGTCCAACGTGTTCTCCGCCTCGGCCGGGTCCGGCGAGTTCAATTGCGTTAACATGGCCGGCAATATATCGTCGAGGGCGCGTACGCCTACCGTGGAATGCAAACCGTCGAAGGTCTTGGCCGCAGCCTGACGAACCTCCGGCAACGGGTCGCAGAGCGCTTTTCTGAAACGAGACGATTCGCCATTTAGCTCACGCGCCACGAAGGGACGTGGTTACCATTTCGGCGTCTCAACTCACCTCACCGTCGGCACGAGACTGATGACGAAGGTCAAGACCATATCTTTGTTGGTGCTGGCCATAATCTCCGACAGACCTATGCACACTCCCTGCCGTTGATCGGCCTGATCGCTCTGCAGACCCTTCTCCAAGATCGGAATGATCTCCGGCAAGACTCTCTCTCCCAGCTTGCGCACCAGGTCGCCCAACGTTCTAGCGGCCACTTGTCTCTTGTCGTAGCTGGTGCTCGCCAAACACCCCAGCAGGAGCGTGAACAGTGTGGGCAATATCTCCCGCAGGGTCCGCGGCGTGTTCGTCACCACAACCTTCCAGACGTGAAGGGCCGCTTGCCGCACCATCAGAGCGACGTCCGAGCGACCCATGTATAAGCCTGCCAGCACACGATTCCGCCTCTCGGCACCCAGGGCGTTTATGATGGCGTAGTGCGACTGCTCGGTGCCGAAGTTGTCGTCCTCGCTCGCGGTCTCGGTCGACATCTTGCCGGACACTCCGGAGATCCTGTAGAGCAGGTCGCCCAAAAGCTGCACGGACGAGTAACGGATACGCCAGTTGTCGTCGAAGAGGCCCTTCTCCAGCTCCGGCAGGAGCAGCATTATCGCCGAGTCCGCGTAGAGGGTAACGATGCGTTGGCCGGCTCTCAGCGCGGTCTCCCGCACGTACTCGTTCTCGTCGGCGAGAGCCTTGAGGATGGGATTGATGATCTGGCCGATGTACGGCGTGAACTCCGTGGTGAAGGCGCTCGGCATGTATATGAACATCATGATGTAGCCGTCCTTGACATGAGGCGCGATGTCGGTCCTCTCCGCGGTGCTGATGATCTCGGGCATGAGCTTGTGGAGCTTCTCGACCCCCAGGCCGCGCACCACCTCCGAGAGACCCTGGGCGGCGCCGGACCTGTCGACGCTGCTGCTCTCCGAGGTGAGGGTCTGCATCAGCCAAGGCAGCAGGTCCTCGAAGCTCGACTCTCCCATGCCGCGCACCATCGCGCCCAGCGCTCTCGCCGACACGCTGCGCACCTCGGGCACGGGGTCCAGCAGGCTCGTCTTCAGCCCTGGGATTATGGTCGGCAAGTACGGGGTCAGGTCCTTCTGGTCTGTCAACGAGTACATGTTGCCGATTATCTGCGCGGCCATCTTCCTCGTCTCGGTCGAGCGGTCGAGGAAAGCGCGCTGCACCACGGGCATGATCAGAGCTAACGAGGGCGCGTCGATGAAGTGGACGAATTGGGTGTCCAGTAGGGTCTGCAGGCAGGTCGCGGTCTTGTGCGAAGGATCCTGCAGCGCCTTCAACAGCACCGGCACGATGGCTTGGATCTCCGGGTTGCGGATGACGCTGCCGATCACCTTCAGAGCCTCGGCGCCGGCCTCCTGCACCTTCGTGTGCGAGTCGCTCAGCACTTCGATCAGCTTCGGCACGATGCTCGGCAAACAGCTGCTCAGCTGTTTCGGGGCGCAGTACGCCATCGCGCCCAGCAACTCGACGGATCCTGAGGGTACGAACAATAAGAGAGCAGGAGAGAGGGAATAAAAGAGGAATAGAAATTCGCAGTCCTTCTTCTCCCTCCTTACCCGTTTTCGTCCTCCACGAGTCTTCCTCCAGAGCCGCCAGCAGGCTGGGCAGCACGAGCTTGACGCCGTGGGCGGAGAGCTTGCTCATGACCACCCGCGCGGTGTCGTCGGTCGCGGATCTCACGTACTGACTGGAATCGCCGAAGCACAGGAGCAGATGCGGCAGCACGTGAACGATGTAGGGCTCGAACAGCCTGCCGAGCATCGTGCACAGCATCTCGAAGGCGAAGAGCGCCCCTTCGCGGTGCCGGTAGTTCTTCTTGTCCTGGATCGCGTTCGTCAACGTGGTCATGATGTCCAGCTGCTTGAGCGCGAGGATCCCCATGCCCTTGATGATACCCGCCAGCCCGTAGGCCGCGCCCTTGCGCTCGCCGTACTTGTCCGACTTGAGCAACTGGTCCATCAGGTTATCCACGATCTTCGGCGCATCCTCCTTGATGGACGGCACCAGGTGCGGCAAGCAGTTCGCCACGGCCTCTTGCACCTGCTGCGACGGAGTGGAGAGCGCGGCTATCAGCCGCATCACGATAGGCTTGATGCGCGGGTCGTCCTTGTCCAAGTGCCTCGCCAAGGAGCCCATCAGGATCACCACCGATTGCTTGATCGAGTCGAAGCTGCCGATCTTCGGCGCCTTGTCCATGAACTCCTCGAACACCGGCAAGAGCGAGGTCACGTTCACCTTACCGTGAAGATCGACCGCGGCGACCGCGGCGGTCAGCATCTCCGTGCGCACCGACTGGTTCCTGTCGCCCAAGCCGGTCGAGACGAAGAACTGCACCAGCCGGTGGATCGTGTCGGCGGTGAGGAGCGGCGCGACCTGCGCCAAGGCGAGCGCCACCCCGCGCCGAGGGCCCCACGTGTCGATCGGCTGCTCGATCACGCGGCCGAAGTCGTTCAGCTTCGGCGGTATCATGGCCAGCTTCTCCTGATAGAGCTGCAGCAGATTGTCCAAGACGGACGGCGTGAGGTGCGGCACCGTCGCCAGGCACTGGGCCAACGCGTACGCGGCCGCCTGCTGCACCGGCTCCACCGGATGGGCGATGTCCTGGATCAGCTCGTCGCAGAGGACCTCCGCCTGCGCGGCCAACTCGGCCTCGTTCCACAGCTCGTTCGCGAGGATCTTGTTCTCGTCGCTGACGTCGAACCGGGCGATCCACACCCTCCTGGTGAGCCTGTCCAGCTGATCCTGATCCTCCTTGTGGGACGGGAAGGCCTGTCGTATCACCATCAGGCCCCGCAGCGCGGCGTCCCTCACGGTGGACAGCGAGTTCTGCAACGCGCCTATCAGCGAGTCTATGTCCTCGCTGGTGGCGATCGCGGTGCCGGGTTGCCCGCTGCCGGAGTGCGCGACGTCCAACAGGGTGGCGACCGCGTGAGACTGCACCCGGCTGGTGGTTTTCTCCATCAGTTCGATCAGCAGGTCGAACATCTGCTTGCGAGGCAGGAGTCTGGGGTGCCTCGGGTCCTTCAGCTCGCCGGTGCTGCCTCTCTGCTTGGCGTGTTCCTGAATCAGTTGCAGCCCCTGCACGATCATACCCTCGTCCTTGTACGTCAACAGGGTCTTCCTCACGAACGGGAACACGTAGCAGAAGGCGGAGGCGGTGAACAGCTCCTTCCTCTTGATCGTCACCGTGTGGATCAGGTTCAACGTTCTCTTCACCGTCACGTCGAGGTCCTCTTCCTCCCAGGCCGGGTCCAGGTCGCACTGCGGCTGCAGCTGCCGCAGTGTCACGTGGGCGATCAGGTCGCCCAAGATCGCGCTGTTGTCTATCGTCACCGTCTGACGGAGCGACAGGAAGAGCTCGGCCATTTCCGGCGCGGCCAACGGGGAGCCCAGGTTCTTCAGGATCGACGGCAGCAGGTCCTTCAGGTAGAGGGACAACTCCTGCCGATTGCCGCGTATCGAGCACGTGACTAGAGACACCGCGGTGTCGATCTTGGCCTTCAACTCGGTCAATCTCCTGCGAATACCGTTCTCTTTGGCGATCTGCGCCTTCAATACCTCCTCCTGCTTCGGCGTCAGCTTCGGCTCCTTGATTTTGCCCTCCCTCTTCCGCTTCTCGTACAGCTCGCGCCTCAGCTGGAGCTCCTCCTGCTGCTCCTTGAACGAGTAGACCTTGCTCTCCCTCTTCATGTTCATCGAGTTGAGAATGTCGTTCTCGTCGTTCACCGGCAACACGCTCTTGTCGTAGAGCTCGCCCTCGGGCGTGAGGTACGTGAAGTACTCGTCCTTGCTGACCCTCAGGATCTCCGGGTCGTCCAGCTTGCTGGTCACGTTCGACACTAACGCGGGCAGGAAGGCGTCCGGCGCCAAGGAGACCACCCTGACCAGCGCGTTCTCGTAATTCGCCACCGGTCTGTAATTCTGCACCAGCATCTTCCGCACCTCGCTGCTGTAGCTGCGCAGAAAGTCCTTGGGCATGAGGCCGTAGTTCTTGGCTATCTTGTACCAGAGATTCGGCACGGCCTTGAGCAGGGCCGGGTGGTGGGACGGAAGCAGAGCGTCTCGGGTCATCTGCATGGCGGGGACGTCGAAGAGGAAGGAGCCGGAGCACAGGGCGAACAGGCCGTCCGCGAGGCACCGGCCGGTGATCTCGCCCATCGACGACTCCTCCCTGCTCTCCTTGTCCGTTTCCGACTTGATCTTCACGTTCTCCAGGAACTTGCTGAACTCCGCCAGCAGAGCCTGAGCCGGCGCGTACGTGCTCAGGCCGGTCACGACTTTCTTCACCAGCGGGTAACAGCGTTGCCTCGTGGTGGAATTCGGCGCGGTCGCGCAGGACACGATGGCGCGGTGGACGCCGTTCAACGCCTTCTCGTTCAGCCGGTCGGAGAACTCGCCGACGAGACGTTCGCAGAGCAGCATCAGGTGGTAGAGGATGTCGTCGCCGCAGGTCGACAGAAACTTCTCCGAGAAGAAGATCTGTTCGTCGATCGCGCTCCATAGCACGCTCTGCTTGTCGTTCTCCACCTGGTCGGCCAGCACGAACTTCAGCAGGAGGTAGGAGGCGACCAGGCCCTCGGTCACCGCGGTCGGCTGTGCGCACTGCTGCATAGCCCGGCTTATCGCCTGGGCCAGGGTCGGCGCTATCACCTCCGCGTAAGAGGTCGCCGGGGTCGAGAAGAACAGCTTGATGTAGGCGGTGCGCACTGCGGCGGTGGACGTTTTCGCTGCCATACCCTTCTTGAACGCGTCCACCACGCTCTTGGGCACGTTGGACGAGAACTTCTTCGACCAGAGAGCCATCATCTCCAGGGCGTGTATCAGCGTTTTCTCGTGCACCTCCGTCTCCAGTACCTTGACGAAGTGCTCGCACGCGGTCTCCGCCAGTTTCTGCACGCTGTTGCCCGAGGCCGCGTTGTAGCTGAGATTGCCGGCACCCTGCAGCACGGAGATCTTGTGGGTCGCCACCGTAAGCTTGCCCTCGGACCCGTGGAACACCGCGAATACCGATGACAACAGCGTCTCCAGAGCCGTGGTGTCGGAACACTGCAGGGCGAGCTTGCGGCACGCTCCGACCGCATTGTCGCGGACCGAGTCCTCCTTAGAGTGCAGATTGGCGAACAGCCCTTTGCTGATCTCCTGGCAATATTGACTCAGGTCGAGGCTCAACCCGTTCAATATGTGCCCGACCGACTCGATGATGATCTCCGGATTCCGCAACATGGCCTTTTGCAGAGCGGGCAGCAACTGATTCTTGAATTCCTCGTGGGTCAACCGTCGAAGAAGCGGCACGGCCACGTCGACCACGTACAAGTCTGGTTTTTTCTTGCAACTGATGGCCACTTTGATAAACACGTCGATCATGTTTACCTGAAATTTGCGCGAGTCAGTACACACGTTCACACGGTGATAATAAACAGCATGCGTTGAGGGGATTATTTAGATTTAATTATCGCCACTTTTTCGTCAGTTCTCTTACCTTCAACCGCTCCACCAGGTCGTTCCATTTGGAGGCAACTAGATACTTGGTGAGCAAGCTGGCCAAAATTATCGTGCCATTCCCGACTTCCAATTTCGTTAAGTTTTCCATGTATATGATCTCTATATTTTTTATGGATGTCCATTCATGAGCAAGTAACGTGTATACCTTGTTCGAGAGTCTCTCGTCGGTGGACGCCACAGCTGCGGCGGATAGATTCGCCTGAGCTTCGATAAGTTTCGGTAAAGTCTGGGTAGTATCCGTCTCTTCGTTATATCCATGAAGAATAACTAAAGTCGACCATTTCAATGCAATATATGCAGTTAGAGAGGTATTCAAACTAGGGAAAAATATTCTGTTAAAGCAGCGTCATCGGATGTGCGTGTGGACGGAGAAATCATCAATTCTCAACCTCTAAGACTTACGTGGCGACCACATTCTTATGCCAAGTGGCTTGTTCTGTGATCACAGCTGTCATATGTTTGACAGTTGCCTCCGGTTGTTTCTTCAGCAATTCCACGATCAAGTTTCTCACGTAGGATTGCGAAGCACTGTCTTTGTACCTATGTAAGGTAAGTGATAGAACCTTGCATACTCCGTTGACAATTTTCTCGTTGATGCCTGGAACGAGCGATAGGCGATGGTTACATATGTGCGCGATCATCGACGCAACGGATACGCGCACAATTTATGCGTAAATCAAGGGAGGACCGGGCATCGATGCCGAAAATGAATCTCTCCCCTCGTCTCCGTGTCGCCGGCGAGGATACAAGAGTTACTTATCTCTTATCGAAAATTAAAACGTTCCCCCCTGAGCCGCTTACCGGGATTTGACAACACGTTGACGACATTTTGCAGAACCTCACGCCGCTCCTTCTTGCTGGCGGTCTGAACACGATTCGGTAGATCCTTCAGAGCTTTTGCTAACTGTAACAAGATACACGCCGATTATAACACGCCCGGGCGAAGACGATTCGATATTTTCTCGCGCTCCACGTGACTCGCTCACCTCGACATCCGCCATATTTCTTCAAAAACCGGACCGATACTGAAGCGCCGCTCTTCGTGACCACGTCTTTCGCGCAAATGTGATTAGAACCGTGGCCGTCGTGTGCCTTTTATTTCTCTCGCTATCAGAAAGTACGTTGCTACGTATTCATCTGTCGTTTACAAACATAACCTTGACGATGTAAAACGCACTTGTTCGATTCGACAAAAAATTTCCAACATCAATCCGTCCCTCGTATGTTTCACTTACCGAATAGGCTTGCCTGCTTATTACTGTAACATTGGTATTCAGAACGAATAATTTATAGAACCGGTGATTCGTTCTGAATATACTGATAATCTGATTTCGAATCTTTTTTTTTAATCTATGCTAAAAAATCTTACATCACGGTAAAGATTTTTTATCATCGAGTTATTCGACGTTGGAGCAGAAACCGTCTTTTCAGATTTAATTATTCACAGACAGTGAAAGAATCGGTATACAACATTCGTTAAAAGATTAGAATAAAGGTCAAAGTTCTATCTTCAATATACATCGCACATCTTTTTATATAGATAAGTTCTTTCTACTCAGATAAGTTCTCAATGTAAAAGCTCGACTGAAAGTTAGGATTGGAAATAAATCGATCGACCTATTTTCCATTATATTCTATGGTTGTTTTCCAGCAAGAGGTAAAAGTCAACGCAAGTCTAGTTATATCATCTATTATCCTTTTTTTTACTAAATGCGAAATGCAAATGATGATATAACTAGACTCGTGTCTCTCGCTGGAAAGCAACTCTCAAGAAATATATCAAGAAATATATTTCAGAAATAACAGCAAGATTATGCATTTAAACTATCTGAAGAGCAGAATTTTCAACTTATAAAATATTTCCCGAATTCTTTTATTATCGTTATTTTCATGAAAGTTTCATTCCGTTGAATTTCGTTTACTTTTCGCTATCGAGGAAAATGATTTTCTGAGTTTCGCGCGCATAAGCTGCCTTGTCATTGAGTCGTATTACTAGAAGATGGGAAGATCTAGAGCAGAACTTAAAACTTTATTTTACATTCAAGATCGCCTCAAGTCACACTTTCAGATGTTGCATAACCAATAAAACGGTCCCTGCGGCATCTCAAGATGATTTCAAGACAATGTTAAATATAAAATCGGGTTCATCTTCAATTTCTCGCCATCATATTTTCGGCTGCGTTCAAGAAATCCGGGTTTACAAAAAGTATAAGCTTTAAGCAATAAGAAATTGACCAATCACAATTGATTATTTTTCTACAATTCGACTGTGATTGGTCAATTTCTTACTGCTTAAAGCTTACACTTATTGTAGCTCTTTCGCCACAATCTTTAAGCGTAAGTAGTAAGCAAATTGCCAACCATGATTATCTTCTAATAAATAACCGTGGTTGGTCAATTTGATTATTGCACACATCTTAAGGCAAAATTGGACAAGAGGAAAGAAATCTTAGTTTTTTTGGTCCTATTTGGTCAATTAAATTCCACTCGACCCTCAGTGTGGTGTTTTTGAACACACATTTGTTAATTCCAACATCTCCGATACGCCACCGTCTTTATCGACAATTCGAGCTCGTAGTACGCCTCGGTGACGGATTGAACGGGCTTTCTTTTACTTTCAAGTGGTGTGATTCAACGGAGAATCGAATGACCTTTTCATTTTCAAGTATATTGCGTGATATTGCGCGCGCTAAGTCAATACATAATCTACACGTCGCGGTGATATCACCTTGAGCAGGTCAGTAACCATACAGGATCGAAGACGTCGACACAAAAAGAGACAAAGGAAGTGGGGTATCATCTTCGGGTTCACTTCTGTCGATTCATCTCACCAGATAAGGCAATAAAAAACGAAAAAGTAAACATCGTCGACCTTAAACGTACATCGCTCGCTTCTCCAGTTCCTTTTCGCAGAGTCGAAAAAATTACTTGCTCAATCGTAAGAGGATAATGTCTGACCCGCGCGTGAGAACGCTCAAGATCAAAACCGGCGTGGTAAAACGTCTCGCGAAGGAAAAGGTCACGTACGAGAAGGAGGCGGCGCAGCAGCGAGAAAGGATACAAAAATTGAAAGAACAAGGTGAGGATCGTTTTTCACGCAGGAGCAAAGGGCAGGGTATCACGATTCTCAAGTGCGAAATGTGAGAAATGATTCGTCTCGTGTAATTGTGTGATGAGTCTGAAGATATGCAAAAGCTCGGTTGTCAATAGAATTCACAAATCCTTGTTCAACTTTTGAAATATCTGTATTACAATCGTGTAAAGGAACTGTCTATTGAAATACCAGAGACTTCTAAAGACACATAAGTACTCTGTAAAATAATATCTTCAAATCATTTTATTTTTTTTTTTAAATATTGTGAGCAATTCGTTGAAAGTAAGAATTTTGTTTGAAACAATAAAAGAAATTTAATGAGCATGGCTATGCTTACCATCTTTCCTCAGTGCAAATGTTTGGAGATGAACTTTTAAATCATTAGGTAATATTTATTGAGAATTGGTGTGTAAACATGAGTTTCATTCCCTGAAAGCTTTTCTTTTAGTCTTTAATTGCTTTTTTTATAGTTTTTGCTATCATTGTTCATAATAAGGAAGAGTTTGGATCATGAAATTCAAAGGAAGTCAGTTGCTTATACATCGTTTTTCAAGTTACACCTCTGAAGTACTGTTGCCAGATGCATCCTTATATCTCTGATTATAAATGTCTTCTTTGTGATATGTTTGTGAAATGTTAACATAATATAAGTGTATTATTTGTCATTTTATAGATAAAGATGGCTACGACATAAAGAAGCAAGAAGAGGTGCTTCAAGAGTCCCTTATGATGGTACCGGATTGCCAGCGACGTCTGGTTAAAGCATTCGAGGAACTGAAGAAGATCCTGGACACCGAGCAAGACTTGAAGGAGTTCGAGGACTACGTCGAAGCAGAGAAGGTGCTGCAAGAGGCAGAGGCGCAATTGCCGAAAGAAGGGGACATCCTGCAAATGTGTTAAGAAGTGTTTGCGGTGACTCTCGCTAAATTATCCTTTGAGTATTATTCGACGGTGTTACGTACTCACTCACATTGAATTAACGATCACTCACAACACCGACGAGGCAGATTAATTTTACACCAGTAAGAATATATACGCGTAGCATTGCATTTCTATTTCTTATAGTTAACCGAACGCTTAAAATAAACTAAGCGAACATGTACGGCGTTCGATCCGGCGAGGGGAGTGCCGTTCAACGAACGTACGAAAATCCGCACTTCAGCATGTATTATCCGATGACTCAAGAGCCATTCGCATACGACGCGAATTACAGCCAGAATATGCGCTACAGTGTTTATCCAAGCCATTTAACATGTGATAACAGTATCGTTAATAACTCGACAACGTCGATCGATGAGGCGAGAACGAGGCGAGAGAACGAACGGGCGATCGAACAGTTCCTCCGGGAGACCGACTTGGAAACCCCCGAGCAGGCCAGCCGTAAGAGAAAGCCGTGCAAGATCGCGACGATGAGAAACGCGCTGGTGCTGGTGGCGAAATTGAACAAGGAGCTCGAGGCTGTTTGGACGGAACTCAAGAGTAACGTCGATCTGCCGAACGCGCAGTGGCGGGAGAAGATCAGCGCCTGCGACGCCGCGAAACACGAGATCTGTCAGATCTTGCGCAGCTTGGAGGACGCGGATTTCTTCAGCGAAGTGAAGAAGAGCCTGGAGAAGCGCAGGAAGAAACGATTGAGGGAACGGTTCAAGCGGGATAAGTGGCGGGAGGAGAAGGTGATGAGGGAGGAGCGGAGGGCCGAATTGCACGCGAAGGCCGACTCGTGGATCAGGAAGGAGCAGGCGGTGATCGAGCGCGAGAAACAGGAGGAGAAGCTGCGCAAGGACGCGGACATGATCCTGTCGGACGTGCGTGGCAAGAGAAACGACGCGCGCAAGTATCTGGGGGTGTTGCTCGAGCTGCAGAATTTGCGAAGGATCAAGATGAACATCGCCCGGGCGAGAGGCGAGCACCTGTCCTCGGCGGCTGACGAAGCATTCCGCAATATCATCGGTAGTATCTTATCGGCCGCACTTTTATCGGCGTTCCATGACGCGATACGACGATCGAACAATAACAGGACTATCCTCCTTAAGATAATTGTATCGCATATTAAGATAGAGTATCTTCGAGGGGTTTCATATATTTAGTATTTATCGAGCAAAATTATGTTTCTGTGTATTTCACTGCTTTAATAATGAGTGTTGTTGAAGCGAAGCGATTGAGACATACACACTACAAATACGAAAATATTTTTTTATTTCATTAAACCGTGTCTGTTTTACAAGTTTACGTAAAAAACAAATACGAAATGGTCGGTGAAGGAGGGTTCCCTACAAAAATCTATTTCGGTGATTCGCGTTCATGACGAAGAAATACAACCTAGTTCGACCAAGAGAAACCGACTTATCGATTCTCGGTGAATTCCTTTCAGACAAGCTGACGGAACAGTGGACCACCTTGGATCGCGAGTATTCTATTGAGGAGCAGGGCCTGAAACTCATGCTGAAGACGAACAACGAGAAGAGGATCGAAAAGCAGAGCAGGAACGTATTCGACGACTGGGAGAACGTGCTGTTTGGTAGAAATATATCGGCCACCGAGCGATGTTACGAGGACTTGGGTTACTTCATCATGACTCGGTGTGTACTCTCGGTATCGCACAGTAATTGTTTCTCACCCCGGCAATGAGAGTGACGATCGTTCGTGTTTCAGTACTGCCTGGGACAAATTCGTGAGCTCTGGGGACGACGCAACGACGATTCCGGTTGGGTGGATAGTGCCTGAGAAACCATCCTCCGCCGCATGGCAAAGGTGTCTCGCGAAGGAGAATCCTTGAGTTCTCGAGTGAATGGCGTGTGTCGACGCATAAACTTACTTAAGGGAAACGGAAGATTTGCTACGACCATTTTGACAATTAAAACATGCGAATTAAATATCCCGACGGTGTTTTCTTTGCTAAACTCGACCCCGCAGGAGGAAACTCATTCGGGGAAACCAATTTCCGTATCTACAAGTTGATCAGATTCTTCAACAAAATTGTCTATTTGAGAAGAAAAGAAAAAGTAGTCCTCGTCTTCCGCTCAAAATATTTGCATTTTCACACGCTTTTGTAGAACTTACACGAAAGACGACGCTTTTGTCACACTTACCCTAACGCGAAATGTATTTACAGCGAACGTCGGGCCGACATGTTTGGCCCGATGGTTTTGCTTTACGTTATATTCAGTACAAAGTCGCGTTCGGTCTGAGCAGCGTTCGACGGCTCCATGCTCTGCGTCTTCCTCACGGTCGCGGGTGTATTCTCGCCGGCGGACATTATCATTTGCAACGCACCGTCCATCTGCGCCAACGTCACCATCAGCTGCCACTCCTCCTGCAACTTCTTCTCCATTATGGTGAACATCTTGAGCGGCTCTTCGCCGAGCTTATGCAGGCTGTCACCGTATACGTCTGTCGAGAACAGGATGAAATCTTATCGACTGAAGAAACGTGACACACGTCTCCTGGGAATTCGTCCTCGGACCTTCGAGTAAGACTTACCTAGCAAGGCATTGGCCACTTGCACCAATACTCGGCCGTAGCGGACGCTGCCGATGTACTTGTTCAGGAACCTGATGATGGTCACCAAGGACTTGTCGTCCCTACCTGATAACGCTCGCTTCAGGCCTTGTCGCCTGATCAGCTCCTGCATAAGCGCTATCGTTATCTGCGGATTTTTGTTGACCGTGAAAGGGATCATGACACAGTCGAGCGCTTTACTGTACTGGAACTTGCGCAGGTAAACGTCGTGCTTACACAAGACCTCCTTGCTGATCTGTCGCTTACTCCCGCTCACGTTGGGCACGCGAGAAATATCGCTCGCGTTTTTGTACAACTCGTCTTCCACGAGACCGTTGTCTCTCTCCTCTCTCGCGTCTTTCGCGTCTCTCACGTCTTTCGTGTCCTTCTCGTTCTCGCGTGTTCGGACGGACAACAAGCCGTCCGCCATACCGGCCACGATTGTCTGATCGTTCGCCTGCAATTTCACGTTATATGATTGAGTTAATCCAATAAATGTCAAATATGACACTCCTGAAAGAATTCAAACGCGGCAATGAGTGACGAATGAAAGTCCCACCACAGCTCGCCACGTTTGATCTATGTTTATAAATTCTTCTTTGAATTATGTCTGATAAAATCATTGTGACTATTGAGTATCAAATAAGTATGGTAGAGAATAGAAGTATGTTGAATGTGCCTGGCGTGTCTTAATGTGAAAACTGCGCTGCTCTACTTACGCTAATTCCTAGGCTGAGAATCACGTTGGAATAATTTAAAGTATGAAGCGTGTTGTACGTTCCGGTGTCGTAGATTTTCACGTGCCCATCCAATGAGCCGGACATGATCCTGCGGCCGTTTGAGGCTATCTGTAAACACGTCACCGTGTTGTGATGTTGCGTGATTTTCGCGAGCAATCTGCCACCCGCAAAAACATCAAATACTTTGATATCTGTCCCTCCTAAAACGCACAAATAAACAATGAATGTTTTTATACACGAAGAAACAAAAGTTGCAAACAGATAGATGAGAAAATAATCTTGTGAAATCTTATACATCGCACACAATTATACAAATTAATTAAAAATTAATATAGTCTTGAAAGCTCGGAAAAACCAATTTATTCCCAATTTTTCCGCGGGTTTTTTTAGTTTTTGTCTAAGAATAGACAAATTTTTAGAGAAACACGTGTTCCACTAAAACCTGTCACATTTGAAAGTCACATTTGTTCCATTAAAACCTGTCGCATGAAAGAATAATAGGCTCAATAAAATTACGAAAATCAGGCCATTAATTAGTACCATTAAACGAGAATTAATACTTGTGTTTGAAAGATTTGACTACATCTTGATTTTTTAAACAAGAATATTAACTCTCGTTTGATAGTATTAATTAATCCGTGCTTGGCCTTTAATGGTCCGATTTCCTTTGATTTCCTGTCACATTTACTTTTTCGCAAAGAGATTGTAAATATCCATAAAAAATTGGAAAAGCCGGTTCTTCCGAGCCTTAAAAACTATAAAAATTAATTTTGCACAGTTGTTAATTATTACATGGATTAATCAGGGATCATCGATACTTTACCTGCGGACAGGAATATTCCTCCAGTTGGCAGGAACAGCAAACTTTCTACGGACGCGTCATTATTAACACTGAGTATTTTCTTGTTCATTCTGGTATCATACATGTGTATGTGTTTGTCATAGCCACCAGACAATATTACATCAGGAGATACAGGGCTCACCGCGCCAGCTCTGACGTAATCTATATGATCCTTGAAGCTTATTACTTGCTGCTCGCTGGATATGTCCCACAGTTTCGTGGTGTTGTCGTCTGAGAATGAGGCAATGTGTACGTCGTCGGCTGTGAAAAAGGCCCTGTGTACCGCAGCTTCGTGTCCCGAGAAGAGACGCACTGTGTTGGTTGAATTGATATTGAAAAGTCTGACCACCGATTCGTCCCCACCGGCGCACAGCAGCGTGCCATCTTTGCGAAAGCTGCCACCGTATGCAGTCTCCTTGAACCTGCTAAAAGTCTTCATGACCAGCTTTGTGATGGGATTGTACACTTGCAGTCGAACCGAGCACGTGACTGCGAAATTATACGGTTCCACTGGCGAGAAGTCGATGTAGTCGATCGAACCGAATTCTTTCACCAAGACCGGAGGCTGCGAACAATTTTCACAAATAACGTGCATCGTTTCTCACATGTAAAATGAAAACCTCTTTATTCTAAATAATGTTGAGAAATTTGATACAGTATCAGTGCAAGAAATTTCACCATAAAAATAGTTATATCCTGCAATTGCTGCGAAAACAAGTCGCATTTAACACTTTGCGGGCCGCTGTCACGCTGACGTGACTTTTGCTCGCCAACGGTTATCGGCCGCTGTCACGCTGGCGTGACTTTTGCTCGCCAACGACTTTCGGCCGCTATCACGCTGGCGTGATGGTTTGACGACCAGGAAACATAGTTTTCAACTGTTTTCCTCTCCCAATTCAACAGACTGTCTATTATTAAAATCTTTTTTCGCGGACGCTTGTTTTGTCAGTTTGAGATTGTCTTTCGCTACCTTCAGATATAGGAAACTTACGTTAGATATCCCTCAAAATGCTCTTCGATGAGGAAATATATGCTGATCTGTTATCAGAAGAAGATTCCTTCTTTAATAATAATTATATACCAACTACTTATGTATCGAAAAATTGCGTAAATATCACCGTTGGCGAGCAGTAGAACCTGCGTGAATCTCGCCGGCGGCAGTGTAACGGCGCTTCGATAAATGCGCGGCCCGCAAAGTGTTAACATGTTTCAGAATGATACATCACAATATGCTGTTATAAATACTTGACTCGAAAATATATATTGTTTTCGTTAAAACTATCTTAACGTTAAATATTAACAATATTAAAAGCTAAAAGTTTTTCTTCCCTTTTTTGGCATAAATTGCGTAACGCGCAAAAATTTCTCGAAACAACCATTGCGTTCAAATAGAGCGCTGAAACGCGCGTTCGTATTGCGTTTATAGGTTATGTCTCGAGCACATGAGTCGTAACATCAACACAATAACTACTGATGATTCCATCACATGTCCAGCTTTCATATTACATTTATTTATTTGATCTGAGACGATTGACCAGCTACAACAAATTATTAATGCATCTGACAGGGTTATTGCCGAAGCAACTATAATTTCAACAAAATACGTGCGGTTCATTGACGAACCAAGTCAGCGAGAGCACATGTACGACACGTCACGACCGCCAAACGAATTGCGCGCGCCTTAAACATTTTCTTCTGTAGAAAGTTAAAATTATAACCATTGAAAAAAATACGTACCGCGTATTTACTCCAATATATATTATCCTCCGTTAATTCCGGCCCCGGTCTTGGGAGCAACTTGGTGCTTATCTTTCTGTAGAACATCCTTCAAGATTTACTCCGAACTATTTGAACTGTATTTACAACACACCGCTGCGAACAGCAACGCGCGAGACGCGTTTCCTCCACACGTTGCTCCGACTGGTGTTGACACGATAACAAGGAGCACCGCGATGCGGCGACCGAGAGAGACGAAGGAGGAATGCCCGGGGTCGGCGTTCAGCGACATTGCGGCCGAACCGAACCGAGTCAAGCCGAGCGCGGCCGAGTTCGCAGCGCTACGAGCGCCGCATTCGTCTGGCGACGTGCGGTGAGGAGCAGATGATTCGGTTGCGGGGTGAGGGGAGGAGGATGGTGGGGATGTCAAGCTGATGTTGACAGCTAGTAGAAGGCGCGTGGTCGAAAAACGTTCGTGATTCATCTCGCGCACGTGCTGTGGACGGGTCATGCCGTTCGGTCGACCAACGCCGTCGCTCGTCGAGATGCAGTGATACGGAGGTATGCGGTGGTGCTTCTCACGGACGGTCTTGGGTTATTAGGCGCTCTCGGCTATAACGCCACATTATACGTGTACATACATATATATACACACGAGTGGTACCGCTTTCAACATGGCGGTGCGGTCGGTGCATTCGGCCCGTGTGCTTCTCCGCTCATCATGACTAAGTCGCGCCGTCCTGGCTATCCGCGATCTCGTCGTCTCCACGGCTCCATGGCATTCGCAGTTCCGCAAATACGACGCCTGTGATCAAACCGTGTCCGTCTGTCCGTCCGCTTCGCGGCCGAACGAGGTTACAATTCCGAGAGGAAGAGAGAGAGAGAGAGAGACGTGTTCTGCAACGAGTCGAACGAACGAGCGAGCGAACACGCACGACTACCGCTGCTGATTCGCCTGCCTTTGTGCGATCGTTCAGGTATCTAAGCGACCGATGCGATATACCGTACACTACCGTTGCGCCGCACGCGTCTCCCCACAGGGCAGTATCGAGCCGGATAATCAGCGATTAATGATCGATTATATCGGCCGGTCGGGGATTTTAATGACGAGTCCCATTCGCGAGGCGACCCTCGGTCAACGGAGATGTCACCGAGTCGACGTTGCCTACATAGCAACGCAACGATGTTCGGGGAACGTTCGAAAACGTTACTTGTAAAAATTAATAAAGAGCGAGAGAGAGGGAGAGAGTTTTCTCAAGCGGCTTTCGAGGGCCTCGAACTTTTGTGTTCGAGTCGCGGGAGAATGTAATTGACATTCTTAATGTGTGTATGCCGTTGAGATCGCGTTCAGATAAGATTTTCGCGATAAGACGTCAGTTGAACTGGCACGTTCGTGAGTAACGTTCCCTCGACATAATTGATGCCCTCTTGTTATGTTTCTTTGTTTATACCGTCCCGTTTGCGACCTGGTGATATGAAGGAAATTTAAATTGCGAAAGCTTTTAAATATAGAACGTGTTCTTCGAGTATGCGCGTATATACATATGTACATATATTTTTTCACATTTTTCTATGTTAATTAAATTCACATGCAATTTATACAGGATGTCCCAGCACAAGCAGAACACCGAGATATCTTTGGGGTCTATGGAGAACAATTTTTTTTAATTTTTGCGCACAAATTTTTCTTCCTCCTTCGAAAGCATTCAAACTATGCTAAACATTGCTTGTATCATTAGAAACAAAGGAGATATATAGATGTTCTCCTTGTTCAGGGACACCTTGTCTATCAGTTTATAATATTATGTATATGTATGTATGTGCACATACATATGTATACATAATTGTATGTATGTATGTATATGTATGTATGTGCACATACATATGTATACATTGAAATGTATAATAATGCCGAAAAGCAATTTAAAGAGATTAAATTAAACTCCCCATTGATTATTCCAGTTTGTGAGCGGCTTATTGAAGACTCTTCTCGGTGAATGTGCCAGCCCGTCTGTTAGCCATTTAACTACATTTCGAATACACTACTTCGTAATATAACAAATTACCACCGTGATGAGAGAGTTTATACTACACTTTTCACAGCAACGGAACAACAACGGTCCGTTGAATCGAATGCAATCCAAAGGCAACTAGGAGCTTGCACGAAACAAGAGAGTAAAGGAGTAGGTAGATCAATTAACGAAGCAAGAATTTATTAACGGATTTGTCTTCGTCCTACAAATAGTAAACCCATGTACAAAGTCCCGTTTCTATGAATGAACCTGTCAAAGTGTGACTTGTCAAATGACTCTGTGGAGTTTTTATTAGCTTACACGCGAAGAAATTTCACCGACAGGAACGGGTAGGTGTAGCAATTAGCAATATCAGAAATCAAAATCTGGAGGGAGGGGGAAACACGACAAAAGTCCACATCAGCACTCGAAGCTGGATTCTTTCCTGCCTCCCGGCTTTATCATTGCTGATTAATCGAAGCTGACTCTTCCTCGTGGAGAGAAGTGGACTCATCAGAGCAGAGCTCAGCATTCTCAGCCTAGTTGTAACCGTCGTTGGACCGTATAGCAGTTTATTATTAAAGTTATTATTCGCGCGTTTCCAGTTCCGATTCAGTTTGACGTAATCCCGGGGCGTGTTATGGTGTATGATAGTGGTTCCGTATTTATCAGTTTCTACATAGTTCGCCGAAGTTCCGTAAATGATTTAAGTAGATGAAATAGGCAGTTGGAAGTTTGAGGGAGAGAGAAAGGGAAGACGCGCGTTAAGAAGGCAGTTCCGACGTCTCGTGAGAAACTGGCTTACTTAGCACGGAACGAACGTTGTTCAAGAGTTATATATTGCCAATATACGATCGTTTCTCCTCAATTTAAGACTAAGTGATCGCATCCAGCGTTGTTCTTACGTTCGTTCACGGGACGACTCCCCTCCTCTGTTAGACAAATACTCATTGTTCCTTGCAAGTTGCCTGAATATCGTAGGATCGTCGTTGAATAAGCTCTTTGAGAATGGCCGAGACGCAGAGAATGACGGTGTACGGGAGGCATCCTCCGTGCGCGAGTGGCAGCAGGCTGGAGGAGCGCCGCGCCAAGAGGTAAAAACCGCACAGTCAACGTCGATTTTCACGTAAATGCAGATTCCAGAACGCCGTCGTGACCCCGTTTGCCCCCCGTTGCTCGTTGCAGATTGGCGCTGCGGCACGAGAGAAATCGGAAGCCGGACAAGCCGGACGACTTCGTGTGTTACGAGTCGAGCGACGACGAGGCGGAGACCGTGACTGAGGGCAAGCAGTTTCTGAGAACTTCCTTCAACTTCGTGGACTACGTGCGCGCCCGCGAAACTAACACGCGCGAAGTGCGGAAGATCAATCAGGAATATGGCTCCCGGCATATCTTGACGCACGACCTATTCAAGGAGTACTCGGTCAGCCTGAACAACATGAACAAAGTATTCTGCTCGCAGTGGTTGAGTGATAGACAAGTGGTGTTTGGCACCAAGTGCAACAAGCTCATGGTGTACGACGTGGCGACGCAGAAGCTCGACCAGATCCCGTCGCTCCACGGCCGGCAGCTCAGCCCGGGCGGCGGTGTCGTTCCTGAGCAGCAATGCGGCATCCACTCCGTTCAAATCAATCCCTCAAGGTAGAAACCACCGCTGAAACCTATACATTAGAGTCCCTGTAATGAGAGTATGGGCACTGAATGTCTGATTTCTCATCGGTTCCGCTATGTTCGGGTAAGCTTTCGATTGGGGTGATGTCAAAGGTTGCTTCCCAGCAAAAGAGAAAAATCGACACAAGTCTAGTTGTATCACTTATTATCCTTTTTTTTGTCAAATGTAAAATAAGAATAAGATTACAATGAGTGGTGATATAGCCAGACTTATGTCGACTTGTGTCTTTTGCTGGAAAGCATCCAAAGTTATCAGCTTAGTGACGACACGAGCTAAGATTTGTCATCTATGAAGTCTACGAAGTATGTTAAAAGAAAAATGAGTTTGTGCGCTTCATATTGTGACTAATTATTAATTTACTTTGATTTGCACCTATTTTAATAATATTTGAATATTTCACATATTACGGCTGTGAACTTCCGGTTTTAATCCAAACACGGTGACCACGGTGACGGTGCCCAGACTATTATTATAAGGATTTTATTATACACCACACTAGAGGTAGTGGAGATTGAGGCATGCAGACTAGAGACTGTAAGATCCCATCTAAATATGCGAGATCGAAATTAATTGATTCGTTGAATTCCAATCTTTAGTCCGGATCAACGATAAGTGTGACAAGCCTTTAGCCCTTCACTTTGAACAATAAAATGTAACGTAATTTCTGACAAAAAATGTTCCCCGTGCTGCCAAGAGTCGTGATGGCGCTTAAATCTTGGGAATGCCGACGTTTGGCAGCGCTAGACACGCTTTTTGCGCCAAAAATTGCGCTACAATATAAGAGCGAAAGATTACATACTTATCGCGCCTATTAGCAGATCCAGTCTCAATCTGCAATATCGTCTAACCCAACTTGACACGAGACCTAAGCCCCTGTCAGATTGGGCATTTGGGATTGCGGATTAAAATTTAGCCAATCGGCACAAGGTGAGCCGATTCATCATAGAATTCTAATCTCTAATCTGCAATAGTTTAATCTCTGATGTTGATGTGCCGCGTCACAGCTGTGGAATAATTTGATATCAATTGCCAATTTGCTCCCCACTTTGCAGAACCCTTTTATCCACCGGTGCGAGGAGTAGTAACGAAATAGCAATATACAGACTACCGACGCTGGATCCGGTTTGCGTCGGCGAGACCGGTCACAGGGACTGGGTGTTCGACATGTGTTGGTTGGACGACGAGTTTCTAGTATCAGGTTCCAGAGACACGAAGATGGCTCTGTGGCGTATCGACAGCGACCTCGCCGAGGCTCCCGACAAAGCGGATGTGCCTACGCACAGGTATGATAATCGAGTACACACTTTTAACCCTTTCGCTTCGGATGTCCAGTCCGCCGAAGTACTGTCTCTGTACGGGCGCGCGCGCCGCGAATACGCACAATATGCGTTGTTGCTTTATATACGTTTTCCTAGGTCTTAAGTAACAATTTTGCTAAATAAAACAATCTTTGTTACTATATAATGATTATTATTTACATTTTTGGTATGAAAATATTTACAACTTAAAAGTTACTAGTAAGATTTAAATTTTAATTAATTATTGTCCGCAAACAAGTTAATATATTAATATAAAGTGATTAGTAGTATAAGTTAGTATGATAAATTCTGAAGCACGGATCTACGCATAAACCAACATCACACTCTTTACACTCGTATCGTGAGTCGGATCTTTTGTCATTCTTACTGCAGACGACACATCGCGCGGCCGCCGCTTATAAGCGGCGCTCGTACGCACAAGACATATTATGCGCGCCGCTTATAAGCGGCACTGGTACCCACAGGACATACTGTGCGCGCCGCTTATAAGCGGCGCTCGAAGCGAAAGGGTTAACTCTCCCGTCACGAGGATCGTGCATACATCTACTGTATGTATCTGTTACAAGTGCAATACACAATACATGTATTTCCTAAGGGGGGAGAGAACTTTTATCGTTTCTTTTCAATCGGTCTGATTTATATTGTTTTCCGAGAGAGATCAACTTTGCTTGTTAGGTTTTGTTTTTCAATAATTAAATTCGGAAGTAGATACACTTTCACGACATAACTCTTGAAATGTTTATATGCCACTTTTTGTCATACGTGCATTTCTAGCTCAACTGACGTATAAATAAAGTATTGATAAGAATAATAAACAATAAATAATATCTCCGTGTTTATAATAGCGTGTATTAATTTATCTCATTTCGCTCAGAATTAATATTTTTTACTTAGTTAAATAGAGTTATTTATTTTGCAATAAATAAGTAAACTTGTAAAGGCCCCTTAATATCGCCGAACTGAAAATTCGGCACTCTGCTACCTTAAGTAAATTTTCACGATCTATGCGTCTGGCATAACTTCGCCAATTCAGTTGTAAATAACATCCCGACGGCTATGTAAGAATACACAATATGCATCGTATTTCGCTTCTTTGCGAGCAGGTTGATTCGGCCGGTCTGCGTGAAGGAGTGCAAGTCCGCTCAGAAAGTGCGGGCATTGGCGTTCAACAAGGCGTACAAGGAGATCGCGGCATTGACGCTCAATAGTTACATACATATCTGGTCGGCCGAATCGTTCAAGCAGAAGATATCTAGAAAACTGCCAGCCTGTCAAGAGAATGTCTGTCTTGCCGTACAGGACGATGGCGTCTACGCAATTGGGTGCCGGTCGTACACTCTCCTTTTGGACGCACGTACTTTGCAGCCAATCAAAAAGATACCATCCAGGTAAAAAGAAAAGCAAGAAACAAAATGTGCAAAAATGAAAAAAGAATGTTAGGGCCTAATTGCAGATGTAGGTTGCATGTATTTGAAAGTTACACACGCGCAAATCTTCTGCATGAACGTGGATACAATGAAATTGAACGTTCCAATCCCTATTCTAAGTCATCTTCGATCTAATTTTACGAAACAATAATGGCCATCCGGCAGAGTTAATAAAATTTGGTTAGATTAGATTTGTTAACTCGGCCAGTTGACCGTTATTGTTTTGTAAAATTACGGTCAAAGGTGGCCCAAAGGAAACAATCCCAAAACAGAGATTGTGAAATGTTCCGTTTTATTGTAATCACTGTTGATGCGAAAGAGTCGTTTAAACACATGCTTAAACACATGCGACTCACATCTGAAACTAGGCTCTAACTTTTAAAAATGTAAAGGCTTTTTTCTCTCTCTCTTTCTCTTTGATACACCTCGACATCGCGCACTAACGCGCCCAATCTCGTTACAGATACAGCGGCTGCGGCATCCGGTCCGCCAGTTTTCAAGGATCTGTTTTAACCATCGGGACCGGGTTGGGGATGCTTATGTTTTACGATGTAAGGGCTCAGAAATACTTGGAGTCCTCGATCAACTCCAACAGGACTGTTGTGTTGAAGGCTTCGAAGGGATACGTGGTGAGTGATAAGAGGGAATTCTGAAAGAATACCGAAACGTCCAGGTTCAGCTGATTGTATTATATTAGATACCATCGTTACTATTGTCGTATTACATTACGATATAATTCATGTGTTCGTTTGTCCCGAAACAGTTTCCGGACGAGGAGTACATAGATGGTTTCCAAAACGTAAAATACACCCCCGCTATTTACACACACTGCTACGACGCATCGGGTACCCGACTATTCACCGCAGGTGGCCCATTGCCCGCGAATCTCTACGGCAACTACGCGGGATTATGGCAATGAAGGTTCACCGCTAAACGAAATAGTATGATAATTGCTAAATTAAATTTATTATCTTGTATGCGCGCGCTGTACGTTGTGAAATGCTTGACCGTGTTATCCGAGAATTTGACTCGGATACTACCAGTATGTATTTAATATTTCTTATTAATTTAACACATGCATATACATATATATATATATATATATGTATATATATATATATATTATATATCTATATGTATTCTCGAATGGGGGAGGAGCAAAATACAGTAAATTTCTCGAAAAGAAAAAAAGGAAAAAAAGGGGCATGCTCTCGCGCCATTCGATTTTTGTTATTTTTTGTCCTTTATGTTTTCTTAACGTTTTCTCAACGTTCACGGTTAAAGGTAATTAATTGTCTACACTTTCTGACCAGGAAAAAAATGACAATCTACGTGACACGATTGAAATTTTAGTTATCGATGATATTCATTCTATCCGTGGAAAAAGAAGATTATTCCGTTGTCTCTGACTTTTCGAAGAACAATTCAATCGGAATGTCGTAGCGTAATTCCGCATTGTTCTTTTAATATTACATAACCGTGATGATTCAGCGTTCCACTAAAGTCTAAAGGTTACGTTTACTTTGCGAAAAGTATTTCTGTCACAACATATGTTTAAGTCTTGATTGATTTGAATTTTCGAGACGATTTGACTGTTATTAAGAGGAAAAGCGCGAAATTACGATGCTCTTCGAACTAGCGATGCTGTTAGGCACCGAAGAGGCACCAAGGAGTCTCGTGTTTCAGTTGAAAGATGTGACAATAATTCATCGGTTTTTGAGCGTTACTCTCCTCAGCTTTCCGCAAAGATAGTGGAATGCCGAATCCGTGAACCCTTTCGCTACAACAGACCGTGGACGTTTGTTAGGTGGACCGCACGCACAAAGAGCCAGCCTGAGGCATTACATTGTTGCACAGGGACACTGTTGACCCAGCTGCTTCGCAACAAGATGCGCACTAGTGGCTCGCTCCCCCCCACACAGCGGTAGCGCTTTTCCGTCCGACCTTGCCGTGGCGAAAGGGTTGACAAGGGAAATGTACATCAAGTGATACAGGGTGATTTAGAAAACGAGTCGTGGAATATAATGTGCGCAAGAAGAGAAAAAAGAAAACTAGATCGGAACTGTTCGTACGCACTCACTCGAACTTGCATCTTCTTTTGTCACCCTGTATTTTATCGTTTAATTTCCATTAAACCAAGGAACGAACTAGATAGATGAAGCACCGATGAAACGTGAAACTACCCGTGTATTGTTAAGAAAAACTTTGCAGATTAAAAGAACGTGACTTTTCAGTTCCACTGTACATGTTTTTTTTTTTCTTTAATTTACTTGTAAAATAATCGTAACATGTGTCGCCCGATCCTTTGTAGTCCAATAATTGTTCGTTGTCATCCGGTCTTTCCTACCTAGTCCGTGTCCGATAAGAGAGTAAATATTAGACGATATGTAAAACTTTTATGTTGTTAAACAAGCGAAATTGTGATTCATTACTTCTATATATAGGGTGTTCGATTCAATTTGTCCGAATTAATTTTGTAGAGTGGAGTTCTCCTCAAAAGATGAAAGAGTCAAAACAGGAAAATTAAGGAGGTAACTCGTAGTCAATTTCGAGTCACGCAAATTTACGGAAATTCCTGTCGGGGAAGGTGGTCAAATTCTTTTAATGGCAACTTCTACAGGAATAATATCAATCGATGGGGCCTGAAAAGACGAATTCAATAACCTTTCCGTAAATTTTACGTGACTCGAAATTGAGCTATCTCATCAATTTTCCTGTTTTGATTTCTCCGTTTGAGACAGCCTCCCACACAAATTAACCTGGATAGATTAAATCGAACAGCCTGTATGTGCGAATATGATGCATATTGTGTGTTGTATGCGTTGTTACAGCCGTCGGAATGTTATTTGTAACAGAATTGGCTGAGGTATGCTAGATATATATAGACCGCGGAAATTTATTTAACCGTATTCTAATTTTACAAAATAAAACACTACGCGCATGGGTCTTCCTCGAAAGATGACGCAAATCAGGTTGACCGAAAATAAACGATAAAAATTCTCCCCGTCGCGTTACAAAAATATTGCGCGCGTATTGTATGCATTATTATTACAATCGTCGGAATATTACGGTAGAATTAGCCGAGGTACGCTACGTCGCGAAAATTTATTTATTTCTAATTTAATGATTTTAAAGCGATACATAACGCGCGCACGGATCTCTCCCGGAAGATATCACGAGTCGGATTGACTAAAAAGGAAACAGCAAAAGTTCTCGCCGTTGTTACGAAAGTTGCTTCACTTCACGTATTTGTTTGCTCTATCGTGTGATTTTACAAAACTGTACAAATGGACGTTCGGAAAAGATATTTATCAACGAACTATAGCAATGAATATTAAGTTTTCGCAAGATACAATCTATCGAGTTGAAGTTGCAACACCGGCCTCGAAACAACAAATATGCAATGAACTTTTAGTGCGTAAAAAAAGAAAAAAAACTTACTTTAGCTTAATAGTATCAATAAAATTTTTAACTACATATTGCTATATCTCGTGTGTATTACGACGTCGCAAGTCCTAACTAATGGAATCAATTTTTTATTATAATTAACGTGTGGTAGAGCGAAAGAGAGAGAGAGAGAGAGAGAGGAGAGAGAGCGAACGAGTGAACGAAAGAGAGAGAGAGAAAGAGAGCGAGAATGCTATCCAGTAACAATAATTTAAGCAAAGAAAGATAATTCTAAATTGCTAGCGCAATAATCTTAGAAGTAATTTCATCTCTCTAATGAGAAAACGCACGGAGCTCTCCTCGCCGATCTCGACGACGAGGAACATCTCTGGGCGAGTCTCTCTCCTCGCAAGAACACATTTGACATTCATTTGCCTCCACCGCGAGTTTAGTCGAATCTTTCCCCGGCGTTTTAAATTGTGTAATTATATAGTATCGAGTTTAACGCGAAATATAATCTAACTGTTCAAGTTTGACCAAGCTCGTTGCCAAGCGCGTCGCCTTTTTGCCACAGCGGCGGCACGCTCGAGAATATTACCGATTACGAAGCGCGTGCATTTAAAGGGAGAAATGAAGGAAGAAAAACAAATGGAGCAGAGGGATACGTCAGTATGTTCGGTCTGTGATCGTACAAGCGCGTTTGTTGTGTGCAATCGAGAAGCATTTGTTTCTATCACAATATGTCGTAATGTATATCGCGTATATATGTATGTATGTGTATATACGTGTGTATACACGTGCGTACATGCATAAATATATACATACATACATGTAAATCCATCGACCATCGTCTTCTTCTTACCAAGTATCTCTTAACGATAATAATTAATCGATATAGGGAGTCCGACTATTTTCGATTTTAGTCGAACAAGCTCAATTCAGGAAGTAAGTTTCCCTCGGTTCAGTGTGCCCTGTGTATGTGTGTATACGTGTGTATATGTCGATGTTTACGGTCAGTACTTCGAGACATATATAATTAATCGTTCATCACGAGAATCATCAGTTCAGGATATCGGCTATTCAGGATGCGTTCTTCTGGCATATCCTAGCGAAATTGAGGCGCTTCTGTTCACATCACATCACAAAAAAGAAACTTATACGCTACCTGTTACGGGACTGTTACGGGGGGAATCATTTTCGATCGGAATCGCTCAATTACTCCCTAAACATCTATCGTGTTTTCTAGGAAAAACAGAATTATTTTGATCGGAATCTATTCCGAACAGTTCTATAATAGGTATGCACAGAGAGTCGATTGCGTATCTCAAAACGTAGCGAGAATCTACAAAAGTGAGCAAATTCACTAGGTGTTGACGAATGAGATTACAAATATTCTAGTAAATCCGCTCACTTTCGCAATACTCGCTATGTTTTAACATACACAATCGACCTCCAAATCGGCAAATCACTCGCAGTCGACGACGACGATGTTGAATCGTTATTATACCGTCTTGCGATAATAAATTCAGTATAAACAAATTTGCATGCATGCGTGCGTGGATGCGTGTGTGTGTGTGTGTGTGTGTGTGTGTGTGTGTGTGTGTGTGTGTGTGTGTGTGTGTGTGTGTGTCGAGACATATTTCCTACCTGCGTACCATGAGATTATGAGTTGTTAAAACGTATAATTATCGGGAATCACGATACTATACACGTAATAGGTAAATGTGTGCGTTGTATCCGATAGTTCTGTAGCCCCCTCCCCCCTCTCACAAATACATACGTTCATCTCTATGTAAACCATCCGATAATATAGCATATATATATGATATAAATACTATATACATATATATATATAAAAAGTGATTCACTGGAACGCGCTTTTTACGCGCGATTCACTGGAGCCGCACGGGCATTCGTTTCGCCAAAAAGGGAAGAGAAAGGAAAGGAACGAAGGGAGGATCCGTCGTTGTTAGCATAACCGCAGAGGACAGACGTTTATTAGCGTAATCACATACACACACATACACACACACACACCTTTGTGCTTTCCGAACCATGTGATGCACACAGGTGTTTAATACTCTCATCCGGTTGAAATATATTGCATATATAGACATACAAATATCTCTAAGTATTACGCTCACAGATATATACTTCAGATTCGCATCTGCAGCATCTGCAAACAGACACACATTCACAGCATCTGATAGCCTATTTTTATAAACGAGCAATAGTTAACGGGTAGCTACCGGAGATCTTCTCCCGGCATCGCTTCATGTCCGAATTATTTGGAACAACACCCTCACAGGATAACAAACGTGTACAAAAACCTGAATTCAAGCTGCTGCCACTCCTCGTCTTGCCTCGCATCTCGATTCGTATCGCGGGGCGTCTCTGAAAAAAAAAAAGAAACTCGCCTCTTCTAAACGGTGATAAGGGACGTAAAATACAGTAAAATTGTCCTGCAAACATGGTGTCGAAACGGATGTATTTGATGAGATCAATGTCATTGGAGGAAAACTGCCAAAGGCACCGGTAATTCTTATCAATTTACCGGGATAATTTTTGAACCAATTCTAATTGTGATTTGAACGGAGCAATTAATCCTTATATATTCAAGAACCATGGGAGAAATTGTGGAGTGCCGTCGTAGCTGCAAGCGACATTGCAAGTGATATTACAAATGTATTAGCACTTTGCACGAGAAGAAAAAAAAGGAAGGAAAGAGAAGTATTCGTCTGTAAGAAAGAAAGGTAGTAATTTGGCGAATTTGCTGTAACATTTGTCTCATTAAATACGCGTTTTCGACGCTTCTGCCGGGAGGGCACTTTTTTTACTCTGTCTTACCTCCCATTAAAGATCACCTTACGTAACAATAGACAAACGGTTACTCGATACTTTTATATCTGACATGAGAACACGCATTTGATATAAACATACAATTACGACCCGTCAAACCGTTCCGTGTGTCGCGTCGCGTTATCAATATAGTTGGCGACAGTCATAAACGTAAAACCAAAGAAAATAGAAAAAGAAAGAAAAAAAAAAGGAAGACAGTAATTACCGCGGTGGCAAGGTTTGAAGGCTGGCGATTTGATGATTTTAACCATGAATGCGAAAGAAAATACCTTTGCACACGCTCACGACGATTCAAGCGGACGAACGGATGAGGAGGAAACTGTATCGTTGTAAACTTTATATGTGCGACTTCGTATGTCTATGTAAATAAATATACCAAGCTCTTGAGACTGAAAAGATCGCAGTTTACCGTCGTTCACCGACGACTCCCCCTTCTCCTTCCTTTAACTTCGAAACACATTCGTAAGTCCGCTGTGCTCGGCACACCGAGAAGCGATAAAAAAGACTTTTGTGTGATCGATATGTTTATTAATAATAATTTATTATTAATGGCGTGGTGTATATATATCTCGTCCATACAACATTTCTCTTAATATCGACAATCGTCACAAATAACGTGTAAAGTGGGTGTATATCGCGTACAAAATGCGCATAGAGTGTGTCGACAAAGTCGTTCCCCCCGCTCCCCTCTTTTTCCCCCTTATACGAATGTGTGTGTATGTATATGTCTCTCGCTCTATGTATGTGTACACAGGCTGAGTCGGTAAAGTGTCACAAATTTATATCTCGGAAACAAAGCACTTTAGAGGTTTATGTTTCGAATAAAGGTTTCATGACTTCTTAAATATTTAATTAAAAAATACTTCATTACAGTGTTTAGAAGAGCTCTAAGCTACAAAAAATACGCAGTGAAAAGTGGGGATTTTCATTTAAGAAATCGGCACCTTGACCTTCGTGTGATCTTCAAATGACTATCTAAGATCAGACCGGAACGAAGTCACGAAACTTTTATACGATACATTTTTCTCTGAAATGCTTTGTTTCCGAGAAATATAAATTTGTAACATTTGAACTGACTCACCTGTATGCACGTCCGAGGGATATCTGATCGCGTGTAAATCGGGATATATAGGAATTGTTCCTTCGTATTCGATCGTGTAAATAAATGTGCTTGTGCATGCAAGTGGAAGGGAGAAGGGAGGAGAAAGAAAGAAAGAGAGACAGAGAGAGAGAGAGAGAGAAAGATTGTGATAATAGTGAATTATGTCGATCGGAACGCGACGCATCGCGGGATTTTTCCAATAAGTGTAAGTTCTTCGCTCGCTGTCCGGGCCGGTGCTGCCTATTCGCATATTACAAATTATTGCAGAGAGAACGTACATTCATATACTACGAATATATCACGAATATACGCTGTCTTTATTCATATATTGTGTCCGTTATTCGGCGGACGGTCACACCTGCGCAGGATGCGCCGCGAGCTCATCAAGTAGAATAACCGTATTTTGAATCTCGATCCCCCCTCTTTTCGCGGAAAACTCGAAAATTCGGCGAGAAACTCTGACATCACGAAAATCACCGCAAAACTTCACGAGATGCGAATTTTCAACAAAACTCGCTCTTAAATCTCCGAGAAACTTCCCATCCTCCTCGGTTTTAATCACAATATTTTCCTGACTTCGATGAAGCTCGAGGAAGAGCGCTTGTGCTCTAAAAGAGACGTCCTACGATTCCCCTCCCCCACCCTTTGCATTCGTCCACCTTTTCAAACCGCGAGATTATTTAAGTCACCGAAGAATTATTCGTAAATATTTCGCGTTGGTGTTTCTCGAACGTAGACCGGACGATCGATCGAACGTAGAGAAGACCGCTTCGTTATCGGAGTCCGAGTTTCGATCTCGTCCCCTAGCGGTCGCGTTATAATCCATAACGCGAAATAGCAATTGGAAATTACGCGGAGCACTCAGCCGGTCGCGTGACCGTCGGCCGGCGGTTTGACGCAAAAAAGATAGCCAGCGTTGCACGCGACGCTATCACCGGGGGCGGTTTTAAATACGAAGGACAATCCGTCCTACACGGCACGCGTCGATATTCGCTGGTCGAACGCAATCGGGTCTGACCGAGCCCGGCTTCAGCATCTTTCCGCACCGCCACCGTTTGCCGCGTTTCCCCACGACGCACCAGCCGCGCTACGCGCGAACGTCATTCGCAAAAATGGCAATAATTAAATTATAATTAAATCTAAAACGAATAGATAAGGTAGGTAACTTCATGTTCAATCGCGATCACAAGTGAAAATTGTATGTACAGTCGGCGTGATAAAAGTTGCAGCACCTTTCTTTCTCGATGAGTCCGTGGCAACGCTTTCGGTGTCCAATAGGAGAATTCGCTCTTTAATCATTCCCAAGAAATACATTTTCCTATTGGGTACGAAGTGTGTTACGAGACTCGTTGAGAAAAGAAGTGTTGCAGCTTTTATATGCCGACTATACCGAAACGAGTACCTGTCCGATTTCACGATCTACACAAAAAACGTTCGGTCGAATTTACTCGACGATGACCAAACGAGCGCGTTTTAGCGTTAAAGGGAAATAGAATTTCTGGTTTTTATGAATCAATTTCAGTTCTTTTAACCGAAAATTCGATTTCCTTCGACGAAACGTGTTGGGTTTGCGTTGCCGTTCTTTCCGTGCGGAATGACTTTTATGAGTTTAGTTGCAGTTTCACACCGTGATCGTGTGCGCAAGGGCCGTGCGTTCAATGCGCCTCAGCTTCTCGAACGCGTGTGACGCGCATCATCGTGAATGATACTTCTAATACGATCGTTTCTCGGAATCACATATGACGATCGTTTTACGATTTTTGCTTACTTAGTAAAAGTTATAAAACTCGTCGTATAGAACGGAGTGTCTACGATAAGGATAGTAAGCTTTAGGCCGTAAGGAATTGATCGATCACAATCGATTATTCTTGCCTCATTCGACCGTCATTGGTCAATTTCTTGAAGTGGCAAGAAGCTTACTACACTTATTGCAGACGCCGCTTAAGAGAGTCAGTTGACTCGGCACGCAAAATGAGAATAGAGAATAATGATATGTCGCACGTGTGCTCGAATAAATTCTACAGTTGGACCGTGAGAATTTATTTAGACTCTAGGAAAAATATGTATCCTCTCTTCGCGTGTGTATATAAAGTTCTAAAAAAGGCGAAAACGAGAGAGTAACCGGGGAGTGTCGTCAAATACGCGCGATCTCGACATTTCGCCTTGCCGGCCCGCGCCTGGCGTAAGCTCGTTATTTCCTCTTTTGGTATGGATTGGCAATTGGTATCCTGCGCGTGCGTCTGTATGTGTGCGTGTACCCGACGCAAATATAATACACATATACTTCGTATATACATACATACGTACGTACGTACAGTCGATAGGTAACGCCCCGGGTAAGAGATGTTCTTAAAGTAAGCGGAGTATTAGATGATTATTGCGATAAATCAGTGAGCGTGGTCCGGCCACGTGCTGGCCGGGTGCCCAGCTCGGAGGGGGGATGGTCGCGAGCAAGAAAAACACCTTTGTTTATAATCTACCGCTACGACAAACTACACGTCGTCACCGGGGTTGGGGAAGTCGCGTTTTCGAAGTAACTCGCGTCACCATTCACGGAGAAAATATTATAACAAAAATTACCATAAAATTAAATAACAATGTTATAATTTCCCACTCGGCAACGTAACGGTTACATATAACGCACGTTACATCGCACTTACATTATTACGTGAGAAATTATAACATTGCAATGTTACCGTTCGTTTGTGTTTACTGGGCTGTAATTTGTAGCTTGTAATTTGCAACTTGTCACTTTTAATTTGTAATATATGACTCTCTAACGGTGATGCTTCCCAATCCCGGTCGTCACACCGAGAGTATGCGGCACGTCCGGTTTACTACAGCGTGTACGAAACAACGTTCGACGAAGCTCACGCGTATGTATGTGTGTGTTCGTGTATGCATGTGTGTATACAGTGGTCTCGTTGCCGTGTCCTCGTCCTCGCGACTTCTCGTCCCCATGACTCGTCATCGATCACGATCCGCGAAGCCGTCGCCGAGGGAGATGGAGGCGCCCGCTTCGCGAACGACGATTCGTCGCCACCGCCATAGCCGACGTGGTCCCGACATCCTCGATGAATCAAAGCCGCCTGGCATCCAGCGCCTTGTTGAGGTCACTGACTAGCATACCGAGGACGGGTCTATGCTCGGAATCGTATCTGAACACCGAGTCCAAGAATTTTGGATACGACAGGAAGTCGAACACTTGGTCGCAGCGCTGCGACGACTTGTCGGTGAGGTGCGGCTTTATCAGTTCCTGTATCAGTGACCGGCAGCGCTCCAGGGATCCCGACAGGTATTCCTGGTCGTAACTGTAGTCCACCTCGTAGAACGAGACGACGGTCATCGCCATCGCTCCCAAGGCCTCCCGGATTTCTTCCAGCTTCTCCGCGTCGCTCGGACGGAATTGGTGGCTGCGTTGCACGAGCCCGATCTGGGGAATGTCGGAAACGAGTATTGTCAATTCTTATATTATATGATTGATATAATATAAATTAATAATATTTATATTATATAAATTACACAATATAAATATATATATTTTTATAAAAATTGCCATGAAAAGGATTTTTATAATTTTAATTGCTATAAAAATTTACTAAGAAATATTGGAGTAATTATTTACTTGAATCTAGCGTTTTTTTTTTTAATTAATTACCTTAATAGACAACTTAACGATGTTCTTTAGAACCTTCTCGGGCTCTTTCTTGTCCAAGTGCGGGTTGCTCTTAGCGACGCTCTCCATCAGCTTGTACAGGTTGTCGAGCAACGACGCCGTGGCGTCGTCGATGAAGAGCGACCGGCCGGCCCCGGTGGACACTATACGACCTAGCAACTTCTTCTGGGCACGCAGCCCTAAGTCGCGAGTGCGACTTCCGGTCCCACCTCCGGCGGTGTAAGAGCCGCCGCCACCTCCGATTCCGTTCGCCGACTGCATCACTGCAATGATTTTCGCACGCGGTAAATGACCTCGCGATTCAAAGGGCGACTCGAAGAAGAGATTGGAAGTCGTTTCGATTCAACGAAGCCACGTGAAGCCAAAAGAATGTTGTTTTATTTTATGCATTAGTCGGAAAACATGAATACAATTTATTTGCGCATGAAACTATAAAAAACAACGAATTTTATCAAAATTAAATTACCATCTTATTCACCGTAATTTTGCCATAAGTAATCGTCACTTGGAATTTGACGGTAATTTTACATCTTTAATTTCAAAATGTATTTGTTAGCTCAACAAGTAATTCCCACGTGAAGATATCGCATTCTTACTTTGAAAAAGTGCGCAGCCGCAGGGCCGTCAAACGTGAAAATATTCGAAATTTTATGAAAATAAATGATAAAAAGAGAGATAAGCTGCTAATAAGAGCTGGAAATTCGAAAATTATCGACAATATAAATTTAACACGCGGACCGGATTTCCACGGATGATCGTCCCCTTGCTGAAGTTCGAATAACCGAAGTTACGGTAAATACATACCGGAGTCAAAATTTTCATTCCGCGTTAACTCCGCAAATTTCATCTAACTTGAAAGGAACCAGCGGAGAATCTCAAAGTGCGACGCTATACAGACTATTGCCGTTCGATACTACGAATATTTATTTACCGTCATTTTCTCCACGTAAGGCTCAATAATAGCGCGCCAATAATACCAACGAAGATTTAAATTTGGACTCGGCACGACAATAATAAAGCTTCAAACAGAAGCGAAGAGAAAATGCTGATGCGGATTCAAAGTGGAACTCACGGGGATATTTCGAGAACGTTTTTCAACTGTTGTCTATCGTTATTGTCGTTTATCGACCACTAAAATTATGCGCGCGGTATTTGCGGGCAATTACGCTTGGCGATGGATGCTTTTGCCCTTTTTGCCGATTGCCTCGGCAGCCTCGCGCGTCGTCATCGCATCATACGGCTTTTTTACCATATATCGATTCTCCTAGACATTTCGTGTACAACATGACTAGGGGAATCGATATATGTTTAAAAAATCACATAATTCCATTTAAAAAATTCACGATGACCTTGATATGACCTTGGAAGGTCCACCTAAGATCTAATTAATATCTTTATCTTTTTCCCTCTTCAACCCAAACAACTTTTATCTAAAATATTTTTTCCTATCATGCACGTTTTCAGAGAAAACAGCTTGTAATGCTTTAAATGACTCACCCCGTATATGTTGATGTTGCTTTAATATTAGTATTATATATTGAAATTTTTATAATATATTTATTCACGCAAATTAGTTTTTTCCTGTTGTGCAATACCAAAAAATATCGGTGTGAAAACGATATTTCTGATACCGATTTCAATCCCTGGTCTGAACATTTTTTCCCGATACAATTTCGGAACGCAGCCGATGAAAGAATTTATCCAATGAAAGAATTTAACTTCTAGGAATTGATCAAACACATGATTTCTCATTAGACCACCGACTGCACTCCGAATCATATTAGAAAAAAAATGCTTAAAACCAACCCAATGTAGTTTTCTGCGCTCGACTTATTGTGTTTCGAGCGAGCCAACGAGCGCGTGCCGACCGACGTCTGTCGATGATCGGTGAGGGGTTTTTGCTCTTCGATTGTTTTGCCAGCTGATTGTTTCGGTACGTCACGTATATATTTTCCTGTATCCGAAATATTGCTTTGCCAGTCGACGAGCGAGGCAGATATGCATAACGACGCGAAACACGTGTATCGGTGCGAGATTAAAATCTTCCGCTGGCTGTTAAAATATTGAATCGGGCTCTCGTGGGCGCCGGCTTAATAATTAACACACGTTTCCGACCGAATCCGACGTGTCCACGCGAATGTCAGTGTCGGTGCCAATGTCAATGCCACAGTGGGGCATCCGGAGTAGTCGGAAACAGAATGGGAGTTGGATCTTGGAAGCCGGGACGGAAGATGCAGAACACGATGTGTCGTATGTTTCCAAGTATGTCGAATCGTTTTATTAATCGCACGGTACATTTCCGATGTTAACGGATGTCTGATGAATTCACCGAGAGTAAAGAGCCGTCTACAATAATCGTAAAGTATGCAGTGAGACGTAAGCAGTAAATTAATTGATCAACCACGGTCGATTATTCTTGTAAAACGTTTTATTCTGCAAAATTGCTGTAAATTGTATTATTCTGTAAAATGCAATTGGTCAACCAGCTTACTGCTTACGTCTTGCTGCATACTTTGCGGCTATTGTAGACGGTCTTTAAAACCCATTGAGACACGAAATAATGGGCACCAGTGGTCACCGCACCGGCGGTCACGTGTCAAAAACTCGTGCCCGCACGTTGACGTAAACCTCTCGCAGCGTCTCGCTCGGCGAGGAGTAAAAAAAGTGGGTCGCTTGTATGCTCCTCGAATCTGAATTGCTTTAATAACCCGATCTGCGACCGAGAGCGAAAACAAAAGAATCGCGGGAGGCGAATGTGGCGCAAAGGTAAGGAAAGTACGGCGACCCCGAGCGAAACGCTCTGCGATTTCCAGCCTCCTGAGAACGGAGGCGAAAGCGACGGCGGCGGCTACGACTGTGGATTCTTTTTAGACGCGATAAGAGACGAGGGAGACCTGCATGCGGCGGTGCCATTCACGTTGACATTCGTTTCGCATCGTCGTACTCACCATCGAACATCGGTAGACCGCCGTTTCCTCTGGCTCGTGATAGCGGGGATGATAAATAATGAGATAAAGTAGCAGCGTGAACGACGCGTGTTTCGTGCGACCCAAACTCAGGCAAACGTAACTAAAATCAACGGACAACTTAAAAACGATCAGAATCTCGAAGAACGTAATAAAACGTAAATCAATGAACCAATGAATCGTGAGAATCGTGAGAAAATATAATCGAAGTGATACGCGACGTCGCTCGATTTTTCTCTACCTTGATTGCAGTCGGTGACGGCCACCAGGTGATAAAGCAGCCAGCTCTGCAATTCCATCACGGCCGTGCCCCACGCCACCTACGAAAATTACAATCCAGATTTGTGAAAGTGTTTGAGATTTGTTACTTTTTATGTTTCTTTTCATTTGCGAGCTGAGGTAATGGCCATCGTCACCTTGAATTGTCTTCGAAATGTGAGAATAAGAGACAATCACATTCCGTTGATGTAAACTTTGTTCATCTCCCTCTTCATTCTGGCCTTTCATGGAATATTTTTACAAATTAAACCTCAATTTGTGTGTCTCTTGCAAAATAGTCTCATTTATCTATACAATGGTTTTATTTATATTGTAAAATATCTTTATTCCTCGAAGACATTCAAGATGGTGATAGTTATTGCCTCACTCTGTACAGTGCATATTTTTCCGAATATTTATAACGACATTCGCAAAGAAAGAAGAAGAAAATAACGAAGAAAAAAAGAACGTTGGCGTAAGATCGCAATTTTCGGTCGAAAAGTTTCACACGCGGGACTATCAATTTCGCCTCGTTACCGCCGATTAAGCGCCGCCGCGATTAAGAACCAAGGATGAGAATTATTCCGTTTGCGATACGAGGAACGCGCGGATCGTCCACGATGACGTTCATCCGTGGAAGAAGCGCTCCTGTCTTCAGTATGCCGAGATGAGATAATATTTCACGGATATATCTATTTGCTCGCTGCCTCGAGGGAAAATATCACGGGCCTGGTCTTTGCGCTCATCTCGTTTCTCGTAAATATTCTTATAAAATGCCGCTCGCAACCTTGTACCGGCGCCTGCCAGCCTTGACACCGATAGCTTTTTCAACAAGATGATACCTTCGAGGATGCGACACCCCCCTTCTTTTCTTCGTTTTGTTAGACCTTCGAGTACTTTCAGCCGTTTTACNATATATATATATATATATATATATAATTTATATAAAATTTCGCGAGGTAGAAGAGGAGATCGCGGAGCGATGCCGACTTTGCACCGTGTCGTCGACGACGAAGATCGCGGCAGCTCGATACGCATGGTCGCGTATATTCAATTAAAGCAAAAAGTGCAACTGAACTTTTTTCCGATATACAGAGACATCGTTGCACAGAAAAAGTGACTATATATGACTTCAATAGAAGACAGATTTTGTTACAACCTTTACCTTTACCTCGTTTTTCATCTTCAACGAAAGAGATGATCAAACTTATTCCAATTGCATCCGATATACTAGATTTATACGAAAGATCACATCTTTTTAGATAATTTTCTCTTCTAGAAAGTTATTAATTTGAGTATTAAAAGTGAAGCAAGAAGACTTCGGCAGGTGTCTGAGGAAGCCAAGTTGCGGCATTAAAAGTTGGTGGCAATTATTTGTGTTCTTTTTTTTGTACAACTTCCTCTTGTAAGAAGTTGTTAATTTAGGTAATAAAAGTGGAACAGGAAAACCTCGTTAGGAGCCGGAAAAAACAGCAGGTCGATATTGCTTATTTTATCCACAAAATGTATCGATGCGACACGTGGAAATCCGATAATTTCACCTCAAATTTTATCCGACGAACACGACGAACTTCCTTGCACCGACCTAACGTGCATACGAATGCCCGGAAAAATCGTCGAGTATATACACTCGCGCTCGAAATCTCGCGTATTTTCGGGTCCCTCGAGCTCGAGGGATTCGCGTCGAGAGGCGATCAGCGCGGCGGCATGGCGCGTAGTCGCGAGCCTCTCCCATATTTGTGCAATTTGTCTCAACGAGCGTGAACGGTCCTAATGCTGGAAATGAAACGTAATACGAGCCGACGTTCGTGTCGCACGCCACACTCGTGAGAGTGAGTGAGACGCGCACGCACGCACGCACGCTTACGTTCGCGCTATAAGGCACTATACCTTTCTGAGTTGGATCGATTTGTAAGGAGCGTCAAGGCAAGCCAGAGACTCTCATTCACCTTTGAACGGCGAGAGCGACGAACAGCGGCCGGTCGATTAAAAACCTAAGCGAGAAAATTCACCTTCGACCCGCTGGGGGAAAATATTGCTAATCCCTTTACGAATTTTCGTCGTTTCCGGCGCCAATCGTATTTTTTCTTGTACCAACAGAAAAGTAACAATAGTGATATATAGGGTGAGGAAATAACTATTATCATTTCGTGAATATCTTCGAAAAATAAAAATATGTCGCTATATAAACAAAAAAATATATATACATCACATAAGAGACAAACTGAAATTTAATTTATAAAAATATTTTATTAACGACTTCATATATATAAAAGCAGAAAAGTTTACATTTAAAGAAAGTAAGTTTTCGAAATGATGACTATCGGTATCAATGCAACTTTTGTTATAAGAATTAAATTAAATTAAGTTAAATTTTCCTCCTATTCTCGCATCTCAAAAAGATATTCAACATGGTAATTAGTTACGACCTCGTTTCTATACATTAATTATTAGCCACATTATAATAGCCTTCGCAATAACAAATGGCTCCCCTGACTGTATTTATTTCGCCGTAATTAATTCATCGTGCAATTATAATCGCAAATACTAAACATTTTTTCTCAGTGCCAGCTCAGTGCCAGCTTTTTCTGGTTTTATAATTCAACCTTGCGACATTTCATTAATTAAACAACCGACGAGATTTCATCGTACGCAATATTATCATGAAATCTCATCGCGAAGGAGGACATTTCTCGAGGCAGACTTTGTCGTTATACGATAGGAAAGAGAGAGAGAAAGAGTATTCGTGATTGAAGGATTTAGGAAATTAACGACACGGGTGGTATAAATTATGCATGGAGCGGAAGGTTAAGCATTCAGGACGAGAAAAAAAATCAGGCTTCAGACCGCGAGAAACGTGCGCGCAAGAGAAAGAGAGAAAAAAGATTCCCGGCGACCAAAATACGATTTATTGTCGTCTGAATATTGCATGAAAAATACGATTGCTTTTGATTCTCATCGGAATTTCGATTAACCTCTTCCCCGCCTGAGTAGTGTTCTTCTCCCCATGTGAAAACCGACCGTCGGCTGCGCGGTATTAATTTCCGCCTATTCTTAGCGATGACCGAAACAGGACGCATTCTTATGGAAATAAAGTTTATCGTACATTTTATCGTATCTTCACGCATCCTGGCGATACGACTGCATGAGGCGGTTGTGCGTACAAAAAAGCGACCGAAACCGTGGGACGCCGCGAATGTAAGAATTTCAGAAAATTTGGAAGAAACGAAAATGCGATATGATAAAGGAATGTAAATGAACGTCGGAAAATAAAGCGACGTTATACGTCGTTTCTGCCCCTCTGTTTAAGCGTCCCGAGTTCATTTTCTGAGTTTTAATATCGTTAATTCTTCTCTCGTCGCGGTCCTCTCTCTCTTTCTCTCTCTCTCGCGTGAATTCACAATCTCGCCGATCTCACGCTCCGTTATCCTGAGATAATAGTATTTGATGCTGGTGCATGACTACAATTGTGGACAGTGAAATAATTATGGTCGGTTAAAACTATTCTTGCAGCGAGGTAGCCGCTACAAAGTTAATGATAATAGCCTCATATGAATACGCCGGTGCGTTCCACTTTTTCGTTCAAACAGCGAAAGGTACGGTGTGTCCAAAATGACCATAATTTTAGCGAAATCAGCCACCCTTTTCTCTCATTATGCAAAGGGAACGACGAAACATGGAGGAAATGCGCATGTTATTTCTCATCGAATTTGCAACCCTGCACACGTTTCATATGAAAAAACAAAATTTTACAAGGAACGGGCATTCAATGATTAGTTTAGGATGTTCATTTTGCTTAACGTGATGAGCATTTATTCCTTTACATTCTTATGCGTTTGGCGTCGAAACCAACTTACTGGCATACTTTGTTCATCTGCGTTTTCACCACGTATATATACCGCGTATATATATAGGTGATAAGAATGAAATATATTTCATTCTTATCACCTTGTTAATCCCAGCTGGCCATATTCCGATCCAGTGGACTCGCTGAACGTTTTTCGGCTTTTTAATTCTCACATGATATACTATTTCTTTTCTCAAAGTATCAAAGTAAGGTGTCTGCTACGGACGAACGAACGTTACTTTTTCATAAATCGCACATTCGCAAAATCACTTGAGAATTTTTTTCCAACAACGCTCTTCTTCTTGTGACAATAGATTTAATTTGAACCCGGATCATTTTCCCGGCCTGATATCATAAACATCTTATTCACACTCTGTATTTCCAATTCCCACATTACAAGCTTAAAAATATTAAAAATATTAATTAGAATGAAAATGGCAAGGCGACAAAGTCGAGCGGTCTCACGGACCAGGATGTGACTAGCTGGAGTTAATTTAAATCGAAGAGGGTCCAAGCGATCGGGACTGAAGAATTCGTTCGATTTCATCAGATATTTATCAGATATAAGCATCTTTCCTTTAATATTAAATATTGTTTTGCTCTGGGGAAGCAACGCTTGCTTCTTACCCGCCCTTTATTGCTATCGATCGCATACGTTTCAGACATCTGGTACATTGGGAAAATACGAGGAGAAATTGCTGCAATTTGTGCAAAATTTACTATTTTTTCGTCTATATACACGCACATTCATTCCGTGGAGCAGTCGCGGAGGAAGATGCGTGAGAGCGCGTGTTTCGTTACGAATGATCGATCGTGTAGGCACTTTCGCTCTCTCTTTCTCGTTTCCGTCGACAGGCCGGAGCTCCGCTCGCGGCCGGGCCTTCGCTCACGGGCGGGCGCCGTGGCCATCGGCGCTTTTTAGAAGCACGAGCGGCCGAGCACCTGTGCTCGGTCGCGTGCTCCTTCAAACGTCGCCGCCGCCGCCATCGTTAGGCGCGGCATCATTTTGGCCGCCAACGAACCGACCGTTTTCGCGAGACACCGAGCGCGATTCCGAGGGTTTTCCAACCTTCTCCCCGTCTCCAGCCAGTTTAAATAGAGCTATCCTTTGTCAATTATCGCTCAGCAAAATTATACGCGACATTGCGGCGAGAGATGTTCTTGAATCGGCACGAAGATGACGTTACGTAATTTCGTACGAACACGAAAATATTC